AGGCAAGCGCTGTGCTGCTGAGCTAAATCCCCAGCCCAGGATTATTTAATTTTTGACTGGGTAGTATATTCATTCATAAGACTCAAACAAAACAACCCATGTACATGCAGAGGTGAACCACCAAATCTGTCACCTCGGTGCATCACCTGTGTAGACCCCATCCATCCAGCCCTCAGATTCTTGCGTGACTGTCCAACAGCTTTGTGCTGGCATTTCTCTACCCTGGTACTATTGACATTCTAGATGGGGTCATTCCTTTTTATAGGCTGTGTAGCATCATTCTCAGTCTTTCCTCATCAGATGCCACACCCCCCAATTGTGGTAATCAGAAAGTCTCCAGACATTGCCACATGTCCCCTGGGGCATCATAGCTCCCATTTAAGGGCTGCTGCTTTGTATCTAAGCAAGCAGCTAAGCTCCTTGACTTCTTACACATACTTCACACACTGTTCTGTAATGCACTGTATCAGTTTTTCCATATCAGTATATAACCCCCCCATTTTTTCATAGCTTCAAATATTTTATTTTGTAATAATTTATTGAAGTTGCTCCCATTGACAAGTACTTAGTTTGTTGTTTCCGGTCTCTTGCTGTTCCATTCATGCTGCAGTGAATAATCTGACACGTGTCATTTCACAGGTGAGCTGGTGTCCCTGAGGAAGTTTCCCTGGGACAGCAGGCGGGCCCTTGGTAATTTTGATACGTTGTGCCCACTTGCTGTCCCATGTTATAATCAATTACCACAAATGCAGTTTAAAACAATACAGATTTAGTACCTTGGAGTTCTAGAGGTCAGAAGTATAAAATACGTCTCACTGGGATAAATTAAGGTGTGGAAGGTCGTATTCTTCCTAGAGGCGCTAGTGCAGGAGTGTGGTCCTTTCCTGTTCCAGGTTCTTGCGGCTGCCTGTATTCCAAGGTTCCAGGTCCCTCAGGTCATCAGAGGTAGCAGCCATTGCTTCACTCTCGCCCCTAACTCATCCTCACATCTTCTCTGCCCTGAGCCTTCTGCTTTCCTCTTCACATTTGAAGGAGCCTTGTGATGGTGTTGGGCCTGCTGGGGTAATTAGGCTGCTCTGCCCCTCTTAAGTCAGCTGATTAGCACCCCTCATTCTACTCTAATCTCAGCATCTCTTTTGCTTTATAGCACAACGTCTTTTATAGTTTCTTGGGATTAGGACATGGCCATCTTGGGGGGCCCAATGTTCTGCCAACCGCAACAGTTGGACCATTTCATCTTCCTACCAATGATGTATATGTGTGCCTGTGTTTTTATAGCTTCACCGACAGAGAATGTGGTCAAACTTGTGGATTTCACCAGTCTGATGGATAAAAAAAAAATCTCACTATTATTGTGGTTTGCATTTGTAAAGTGGTCAGTGGGGGACAGCATCTTTCCGTGGGTGTGAAGCCTTTTGTGTTTCTAAAAGGTATGGAAACACCAGGTTCTTTAAGCATAGCCTGCTCACTGTGACCCCAGAATATTTTATTTCTTGGCTTTCTTTTCCAGGTGTTACATGTAGTAGTTCTAATCTAACTAAATTTGTATTACTAGCAAAATTTTATTCTGCATTATTTTCAAATATATTTTCAACTACGATGTGCAAGCGCATCTGTGGGATGACTGCGGTTTGCTTACGCGTTCCCCGCCCCAGGACACTGATGCTCATCAGTCTATAAACACACTTCGGGAATGCAGCCGCGTCACAAGGTGTGGGCTCCTGGTTTGCGTGGATGTACCAAAGGCGGCGTTTTATGCACCTGTCTAGCAGGTTGGCAGCCTCTGTCTAAAGACAACTTACTTCTTGCCCAGAACTGTTTGTGCTATCAACCTTTCTTTTAGGTTTTCTGTCTTTCTTAGTGACAGGCTTTAAAGCTGCAGGTTTCTGCCCTAGAACCCTTTTCCTGCCTCTGACGTAGCCCTTGAGTCCACACTTTGCTTTCCATCCCCTCCACCTTGGTCTGGTGTGCCACCCTGCTGGTGGGTCCTCTGTACTCCATCCTCTAAGCGCGTTCAGACCCGTCTGAAACAATGGTCTGGCTGTGCCTCTGTAACGGTTCAGCATGGTGTGCGAAGTTCTCATGTCCAGCCCCTCTGTCATCTCCTGTGCTGCTCTCCCCTGTTTCCTAAACTCAGGCCAAGAGGATTTCATCTAGGCCTTCTCTATGTCTCTTGCATCCTATTAAAAGCTAACACTGAGCATTTACTGCATGCCAAGAATATTGCCTCCACTTTACATAGGAGAGTCTGAGATTTAGACCATGCAATCTTTCAGGTAGGCAGAGCAGACTGAGGGGTGTTCTACTGCAGAACCCTCATTGTAATTCCATACAGGGAAGTTTCTTCTTCCCTCTCTGCAGTAAACTCCTCCCCGCAGCATGGCATCTTCCTGGAAGCATGCCACACTGTGCCCCCGTTCTCTGGCCTCTCTGTACCAAAGAGGCCTTGGTAGCTGTGTCTGCCATGTCCTGTTACAGCTGGCTGCCTTCCTCGGCAGTCCCCAAACCTGCCCACACCTGAGAATCCCTGGGACTCTTGCCCATTGAGGGACTCCTGGGTGCCCTTCCTGGAGATCGTGATGTGATGGAGGCAGCCAGGCATCGGGGCGGGGCAGGGTCTTCCCAGTGACTCTGGCACCATAGGTTTGGGAGCCGCTGATGCGCACCTCTCCCTGAGCTCCACGTGGCGAGCCAGGGTGGAGGTGGAGGTAGTGATCACTGATGAGGGTTGCTCCTGCAGCACTGCTTCGCCTCAGGGTCTCCAGGACCCCTGACACCAGTTGGTGCTGTTCACCAACTGCTCAGCAAGATCTGACTAATTTCTGCTCATTAACATCTGCTTATCTTGATGGGGTAGGAGATTCAGGAGTATCTTAACCTTTGATTGGTTAACTAATTACCATTTTAAGAGGACTTACTTTCTTCTGTAAAATTTGGCTTTGAAAAAGAAGCTGGGCATTGTGGCCCAAGTGTCCTGTGTTTGTCACTTCCAAATGGAGAAATGCTAGAGTCATGGTATTCCTCTTCCTTGCTTGATTTACCTTACAGGTTCTGTGTTGGGAGCATTGCTGTGATAACACTCTCATCTGCTTCTGCGAGGTGCTCGTCCTGTTCCTGGAGTATCCCATCCTGAGAGACGATGGGCACTCACTCTTGCCTGCCCATTGAGCCTAGACAGGGCCTGGGCACCTTAAAGTTTACTGTCCCTCAGTTGTTGACCCCAGCTGTCTGTACTCAGGGGCCGTGTGCCTGGCTGAGTAGTATGCATGAGTTCTTTTGCTCAGTCCATAGAAAAGCTTAGGGTAGAGGAATAATGGGGGGGTAACTTGCTTGACAGATGTGTGGTCTGTCTGTCCCTCAGGTCGTGGTAGGAGGCACATGGAACATTTCATGCTCTTGTGCTCTTCTTCCCGGAGTCCAGATGTGACGCAAAATCCTCATTAAAGGATGTGCGGGCAGCCACCGCTTTCAGCCCAAGCGGGCATCTGTTTATCCACAGCTCGTCAGTGAACCAGGCCAGGCTGTCAGAGGTGCTGTGTCTGGACTTGGAGACTTCGGTCCTGTGCAAATTTTAATATCAGAAATGGTTACCTGAATGGTTTTTCCAATTCGTAAAATTATTGGTAACCTTTCTGAAGCACTCTGCGTCAAGTACTGTACTCAGCACTTTAAATGAATTAGCTCATTCAGTCCACACAGGACTTTCGGGTGTAGGCACTGTTGTTATCCCCCCTTGGAGCACAGAGAGTGAGCAAAATTGCCCACGGCTGCACAGTTGGAAAGTGGCAGAGTCAGATTCCCACCCGGGCAGCTGTGCTCTGAGCTATGGTTCCAACAACGGATAATTTCAGTCTTGGGGCTGGTGGCAAGAAAGTTAACGGTCACATCTGCCGACCGCTTCTGTCCGTGGGACAGTGGGGCGCAGTGTTCACTCAGTTTCCCTTCGTTCCCCGGCCTGCTGGGTAGTACGGCTGGACGCTCAGCCTGGTACTCACAGTGGCGGGAACGTGTGCCAGCTCTTCAAACACAGGTGTTAATTGCTGAAATTAATTGGTAGTCACAGCACCTGCTCAGAAAGCCCCTGGCTTCCACATCTCCAATAATTACTTATTAGGAACTTAGCATCTGCAAAATTATCTCAGCCTCCGTTGAATCCTTTCATATTTTCAGCCTGATTGAATGCTCTCTGGGGCTACCTGAGGGTTCAGAAAACATTCTAGATTTCAGTGTTTCTGCTCAAATTCAGCCCTTTCTTCCTCAAGTCAGGCAGATGGGAAGAGCTGAAATTTGAAGCTTTAGGGTCCAGTTTTGACTGTCACTTTCAAATGCAGATGAACCAGTTTCCGCTCTAATCTGTGGTTTCCTTGATGGTGGAATGGGAGGTGATGACTGTATCTTGAGGTTTCCTAAGATAAAATGAGATAAAAATCAGAAAACACCTATGTAATCTGCTAGAGATTATACTAGATTTTATCATATGCTTGATAACTAACAGTGTAATCATTTACATTTCTGCTGCCCAGACCTTCCCCTCCTTCGTCCTTTTACCTGCTCCTATGTTAAGGGCTGGGGAAGCAAGAGTGTATCAAAGCCAGTTTTGTCCCTGGAAAGCTCACAGGCAAATTGGGGAGACAGTTGTAGAAGAGTTCAGATAGCACAGAGAGCAAAGCTGCAGAGTGGTGGGTGCTCAGAAGAGGGGCGCCTAGCCTGGTCTGTTGGGGTTCGGTCTGGATCTGTACAGAAGAGATGAGCTCTGAGCAGAATCCTGCACACGACAGCGCGTGCGCCCCAGGTACAGATGGGAGGGGGGCGGGGTGGCAGGAAGGGGAGGGAGGAAGCAGGAAAGTACGGGGCGCAGGAGGCCGTGGTGTGCGAGTTGGCAGGAGATGGGGTCAGCAAAGTAGGCAGCCTCTGTGGACAGTGGGAGGCTGGAGGGTGACCCTCAGATTGAGGTTTGGGGGCTACATGGAGGACGGGGGACAGGGAGACTCTGGGGTCCTAGCCTTCTGCATTTGAGTGTATTTCAGGTGACTTGTTAGCTCTCTGCTCTGGGAGAGGAAACTCGGGCTCCAGCCCCCCCGCCCCCAGCTTTCCTTCCTCCCTCCCGGGCTGAGCTGACCCTGCACTGTTAAGGTTCACTTCCTAGAAAGTATTTGTAAGTAAGTGCAGCAGGAGCTCAGGCCAGAGTGCAGCCCTGGCCCTGCCTCCAGAGGCAGGAGGGCGGCCCGGGTTTAGATGAGGCACACCTCCTCCCAGAAAGGAGGGGTGAGCAGCAAACTTGAAAGCAGCGGCGCAGGTGTGTCAGGGCAGTGCCCCCCAGCCTGGCATAGTCGGCCCCCTCTGACTTCCTTTCCTGGTTGGTTTAGGGCCTCTTGTAGCTCTAAAACACTTACTCTGAGACCACTGGAATGCACAAAGCAGCGCTTTCTTTCCCGCTGGTGTCAAATGAGCAGATGCTGCTGCACTGTTTTCTTCTTCCTGGTGTTAGGGAATTGGTGGGCATGAATCTGCCTTCCCAGGGTCCCTCACAAACAGCTCTAGCTAGCTTCTCCGGAGCGAAGTCTGGCTTAGGTCAGTCTCAGCCGCCTGCAGGGAACATCACTGCCAGCAGATGGCAGCAGGCTTCCACGAAAGGAGTGTGGGCCCCTTTGCAGAGCACAGCCCCACCACACTTGGCCTGGGAGGGAGTGAGGGAGCGTTGGGAGCTGGGAAGGGTAGAAATGAATCAGACATGAGCATTGCCCATGAGCAAACAGAGCACGGAAAGAGAGAGATGCCCAGGCCATAAAGCAGGACAAAACGGACTGTGAGACAGGGGAGGCAGAACAGTGCAGGGGAAAAAGTGAGAGCAGCGGAATTCACACAGACCCAGATTCTGGCATGTTGCAGCCTTTCAAATGCGTAACAGTCATCGTAGCTACCGTTGCATGCAGCATCCTTTGTGAGGCACTGTTCCAGGGGATCTATGTCTATATCTGTAGTTGTGTGTTTTTACCTAAGCCTCAGTCCTTGAAGTAGATGCAGTTACAGTCCCGTTTTACAAGCTCAGGAAAGGAAGGCACAGAGAAGCTGAAGTTCTTTACAAGGTCACACAGCTAGTGCTGGATTCCAAGTTGGACAGGTCAGTTACTCACCTGGTGACGGCGCATCTCTGGAACCAGCGCAGTGGCTGACACCCGAAGAAGGCCTTTCATGCTGTACAGCTGCTGTGCCTTTAATAGTTGCTGACAGATGCAATCACATGAGCTGTTCCCTGAGGCCCGCCACAGTTAGTGTCACTAACTCTCCATTTTCCTCCCAGGTTTGGGCATACAGGCGTGGCACACCTCCTCCTGGACCACGGGGCCGACGTCAATGCCCAGAACCGGCTGGGGGCCAGTGTGCTCACTGTGGCCTCTCGGGGCGGCCACCTGGGTGTGGTGAAGCTGCTCCTGGAAGCTGGTGCCTTTGTGGACCATCACAGCCCCTCAGGCGAGCAGCCAGGGCTGGGAGGCAGCAGGGACGAGCTGCTGGGTATTACAGCCCTGATGGCTGCCGTCCAGCACGGGCATGAGGCTGTGGTGCGGCTGCTGCTGGAGTGGGGTGCAGACCCCAACCGCGCGGCCCGGACAGTGGGCTGGAGCCCCCTGATGCTGGCGGCACTGGCTGGGAGGCTCGGCGTGGCCCAGCAGCTGGCAGAGAAGGGAGCCAACCCCGACCACCTCAGTGTGCTGGAGAAGACAGCCTTCGAGGTGGCACTGGACCGCAGACACAGAGAGCTGGCAGACTACCTGGACCCGCTGACCACCGTCAGGCCCAGAACAGGTCAGGCTGTAACACACACACACACACACGCACCTGCCACGGCTTTACAGAAGGCCCCACGTTATACTGAGATGGCCCCACCCCACTGACCTTGAGTTTGAGCTTGCTGTACTTAGGGTTTCACACGGGGATGCCTGGTACCCCTCTCTACAGGGCCTGGTAGGGTAGCTCCGTGGAAGACTTGGGGAACCTCCCAGCCAGGCCCTCCTTCCTCACCAGCTGGTTCCGAGATCCTTCCAAAACCAAGGTCAGCAAACTTTTTTTAGAGGGCCACATAATAAGTACTTTAGATTTGATGGGCCGAGCATCTCTGTCAAAGCTACTCAATTGTGTCAGAGTGAAAAGAGCCCCACGCACTGTATAAACGAGGCAATGCAGCTCCGAGCCCGAAAGCTGTAGTCACAAAGGCAGGCGGCAGGGCAGAGCTCATTGGCTGCGGCTTGCCAACTGCTGCTCTGGAACAGTATACCTGACCTCCTCTGCCAGCAAAGACCAAGTCCTACAAAGTTAGTGAAAATTAGTCCTCTCTTTAGTTCTCTCCTTTTTTCAAAAACTGACTGGTGTGTCCTGTTTTTTTCTTTTTCCATCTTTCTGGCATGTGAAGGGCCGTTGAAGCAGTCCTTAGTGAATCAGCCGCAGGGCATGTTGCATTTCAGAGCATCTAGTTCTCACCGAGTGCCATGAGACCATGACATAGCCACACATGGTCAGGTACCCGGCAGGATGGAGATGAGTGGCCTCCTCTGCTTAAACGCTCCTCCCCCTCTGCGGCCGGGAGACCTGGGACGTGTGAGCTGTCCCTTTGGGACGTAAGTGCCCTGTTCGTAAAACAGGTGTAATCGCACTTCTCTGGTAATGTTTCGTGGGGAGTAATAAGATGATGCCTGAATGTGTTTATCCCAGCGCCTGGCACATGGACAGAACCCCAAAATGGAAACTACTATAATACGTTTCTACTGCTCAGACTTTCTTTCAGTTATTTTTAAAATGTTTATTGAGTGCTTACTGCGTACCAGGCACCATTCGAGGTACCTGCGGTACGGCGGGGAACAAGTGAGACCCAAGTCCCTCTGAGACCTTGGCCTCTGTGGAGGAAGACAGCCAGCAAACACATTAAATAAATTACGTAGAATGTAGGAATGCCGTGCAGCTAAAAAAAAGAACAAGTGAGGCAAGGCCAGGGGATCAGGAGCGGCAGAGCTGGGGTGATGCAGCTGGCTTTCGAAATGGGGCCGTGCGTGGCCACCTTGAGAAGGTGGTTTTTAGTGGCCTCCTAGGCATGCAGGAAGAGCACGAGCTGAGCTCTCGGGGAAAAGCCCCAGGTAGAACAGCAAGGGCAAAGTCTGTGTTATTAGTAATGAGAAAGATTATTAAATACTAATTACAATCCTTAGCTCTTTCTGGGAGATGTCAAGATGTCTGCTCCTTCCGATGCCTGGCAGTCCGTGGCCTGTCCCCAGCCTCAGCAGCAGGACGCGGCCCCCTCTGAGGTATCGCCGTTGTACTGACAGCCCCTTCCCAGCAGCAGTGTGGTCAGAACAGGCTCCCTCTCCTTGGGATGGGGCAGGGTCCTCGGAGCTGCTCTTAGAGATAAAAGCATGAGCCCCAGAGCGAGGAAGGGACCAGCCCAGGGTCAGTGGGCATCAGCACACAGCCACCCCAGCTCCCAGGCTCGGTTGGGCCGTGGGTGATGGATGCAAACCAGATGCCAGCACTGTGACCGAGTGCCACACTCTGTTCTACCACAGTGTCTTGGCACGAGAAGCCCCGGCCAGAGCAGGTCGGCTTCATAAATACTTAAAGGCACATGCTGTGTTGTGAAGAACTGAGATGCAGCATTGTTCCCTGATAGTATTTCACAGGCAAGATTTAAAACTTGGTATTGTGGCCAAGTCCATACTTGCCATTAAGAATCCGGGAGTTAAGCTGGGCATAATCCCAGCTACTCAGGAGGCTGAGGCAGGAGGATTGCTTGTTCAGTTCAAGCCCAGCCTTTGAGATTCTGTATCAAAACTTTTTAAAAAAGACCACGGATGTAGCTCACTGGCCCTTCTGGTGGCTGTGGCTGTGACAGCATTGTGCCAGCTGCTCAGGGCCCGGGGTCCTCTGCCTTGGAGTATGGTTGAACACTTAGCACTCTGAAGAAAACAATTATGGTTTCTTTTTAAAATTCCTGCAGGAATCCAGGTTTGCACAAGACCACACTTTTTTAATAAGAAAGGACACCCCAAAGTTCAGAATGCCTCAAAACAGTTGCTTCATTAGTGTGTGATCTGAGCAGCGAGGTGTCTTGGAAATGTTTTCAGAACTCTGTGGTAATAACCCTTCCTTCCAGAAGTGCTGTGAGATTGGTCTGTGAGGTCTCTAGCTAGATTGCTTCTGAGAAGTATATCCTTTTAAAAGCTAGACTGTGCTGTTACACCTTTGTGACTTTGCTGTTACATTGAACCTCTCTGTGGCTAACTTTTAAAATCTTTGTTTACCCAGATGAGGAGAAGAGGCGCCCTGATATCTTCCACGCATTGAAAATGGGTAAGCGCTTCAGAAATGTTTTTGGATCTAAGAACAGAGGACCACCTTCTCCCTATCTAATACTTGTCCTTTCCAAGCCCACTTGGAGTATTTGAGAAAGAAACAGGCAGTTTTTTGTTGTTCCCTGACTCGCCAGTATCGCCAGGGAGGTCTAGCTCATGGAGGCCCTCATCTCCTATGGGATTCAGCCCACAGGTTCCAGACTGCGCTCCAAGGCCTGCCGCCCTGCCAGCCAGTTGCTGAGCTGTCCTCTTGCTTCTCCCTCCTCTGAAACTCCCTTCTGCACACCCACCCACTCTGGTCTCTGTATGACAAAAGGCTGTTTAGCCTAAGATTTCTTCTCTCGATATACAGCCCACCTCCAGGAAGCCTTTCCTGATCCTCACCCCAGTAAGACCTAACCTCCCCTTCTGCACGCCCGGAATCGCTTCTTTGTCTGTTCTCCTAAGATAGCGACAGCTCTTCTGTCCATGCTTGGACGTCTTTGTCTCCCATACAGGGACTGAGAGTGGAGGTTCTGTCAGCAGAACCTCTGGAGGGACACTGTCAGCAAATGTCTGTTCGTGAACCGGTAGAACAAGTGGGGCTGTGAATCAGGCGCTGTAGGTCACTGAGACTCCTGCTTGTGTGTGCAGGAAACTTCCAGCTGGTCAAAGAGATCGCCGATGAAGACCCCAACCATGTGAACCTGGTCAATGGGGACGGGGCGACACCGCTGATGCTGGCAGCTGTCACGGGGCAGCTGCCGCTGGTGCAGCTGCTGGTAGAGAGGCACGCTGACATCGACAAGCAGGACAGCGTGCACGGCTGGACGGCCCTCATGCAGGCCACCTACCACGGGTCAGTGCCCGCTGCACTCCCTCTGCGGCCAGGCTCAGCAGATGCCCTGGCCCGGGTGGGGGTTCCCAGTGAGGTTTTCTGATCCCAAGATACCATATAGAACACCGGGGCTGCAAAGACACTGAGGCGTGCGCAAAAGGTGGCTGGAGCACAGGCCTGCTTCATCCTGTATCCCAGCCTTCTGAGCAGACTTCCCACTACCCAGGGCGGAATTTCACAGCGGCTGGGAAACACCATGCAGCAGGAAGCTTTTAGGCAGAAAGAAGTTTCTTGTGATTGGTTTCACCTGAATAATGTGATTGGCTCATTTGGCATGTTTACCTTCTTAAGCAGCCCCTGTGTGAAGTGAATGTTGGTCCTGCATCCTGGGCTTCTCCTGACCATCCTCGGGAGGCTTCAGCATGTGCAAGAGACTTACAAATCACTTCTCACCCCAGCCTGCTGGGGGTGTTGCCTCTTGGAACTGCCAAATGGTCTGACTCGAGGGGCTCTTTCCCCGCCCTAATCATGTTCTTTTCCTGCATCATCTGGAAGCAGTTGGTTTCCTTATTTGATGAGTCTCAAGCTTCTCTATCAGGTCATTTGGCCTGTGTGAACCTTTCAGTGGAGGGGAAGGAGCGGATCGGCAGCCAGGTGGTTTTTGGGCAGAGCCCTCAGTTTTAATTTTGACTAAAGAAGGAACCGAAGACACTAAATTGTATTGGCATGTGATCTTATGGGTGTGGGGAATGATGAGTATGAGACTATTTACCATCACCCATGAACTTCTTAAATGCGGAGACAGAGGGCTGTTGTTAATGTTGTCAGCCTTATTACCCAGGAGCAAAGCCACACTTTGTAATGGTAGGTGTATTAGTCAGTGTCATGTTACTATGACAAAATACCCAAGGCAGTTAACTAAGAGAAAGGTTTGTCTTTGCTCACAATTTGGAAGGTTCCAGTCCAAAATTAGGCAGCCTCATGGCTTTGGGCCTCTGGTGTGAGTACCCCAGGTACTGGTGGGGAACATGTGTATGACTGGGTACTCACATCTCTCTGTCAGGAAGCAGAGACACACAGAGAAAGAGAGAGAGAGAGGGAAAGAACGGGGTTGGGATCCCCTGCTGACTTTTGGGCCTCATCTTCTAAAGGTCCACAGCACCTCCTCATAGTACCGCCATGGTAGCTACGTGTTTGGAGTCAGTATCCAAACTATAGCAGTGAATGTAACCCTGACTTTTTCTGTACTCTCCAGGAATAAGGAAATTGTCAAGTTTCTGCTAAACCAAGGGGCAGACGTCACTCTTCGTGCGAAAAACGGGTACACGGCCTTTGACCTAGTGATGCTGCTGAATGATCCTGGTGGGTTACTTTAAGAAAGGGGCTGTGAATCTACGCAGTCATTCTTGCCTGGGAGCCTTGACTGAAGCCTGACTTACGCACGGGGAGTGCAGGCTCTAATGTCCAGGGCCCAACATGTGACCTTGGGGCGGGACCCTTCCCACTGCCCCCGAGCTTTCTTTTGTCAGGGTCTCCAAGGAGGGAGGCAAACAAGGACATGTCTGCTTTGCAGCTCCTCAAGCCCTAGCGTGTTGTCTGTGCTTGCAGTGACTCTGGGGGGAATGTAAAGGCCCCTGTGACGATTTGACAAGAGCTGTGTGGGGAGGCTGCAGGTCATGAGGACCGCACTAGGACACCAGCATTATTAGCTTCTCTTAGTTCCGGGCTGGTCCTTGCTCCTCCCCTCTGACCTTTGTCTGCTGTGATGGACCCTCTGCTGGGCCCCATTAGGGACAGAGTCTCTGGTATGTGACCTTTTCTTTACCCTGGAGTTTCAGTCCAGAGAGAGGGAAGCTCAGAAACCCTTCTGAGTCTCAAGTCTGGGAGTCTGTGCCAAGAGCCCAACTGCCAGCTGTGGGGACAGAGAAACTTTAGCCTCTGCAGTCCGTAGTGGGGTTACCGCTGCTGCTGCTCTTAGCTGAGGGGATGCCAGGCAGGGGTGCCCTCCCTTGTTGCCAGCACCGTCCTCACCCTGTCCCCTTCTGCAGGCACCTGCACATGACAGATGCACGCTGATTCCGTTCAGTCCTCGGAGAGGCTTGAGAAAAGCAGGTTTCACGTCTTGTAGTGGGGTGATCTGGCCTAGCAGCAGCGGGGTCCTCTGCCCCAGTCCAGTGAGCTCACTCCATCATCAGAGCCCCTCCTCCCAGCCTAGGGGTTTGTGTTGTTCCGACTTCACATACACTCAGATCAACTTGTCTCTTCCAGTAGCCTCCCCTCCCCTTCCAGGAAAAGAGCCTGTGGCTTTGGGCCTTGGGGGCCCCTAGTAGGTTTTTTTTCCTGGCAGGTTTTTAAATGAAGCTTTCGTCTAAGATTTTCCAGAAACGTGACTGCTTGTCTTAGTCACTTCCCTCGTTCCTGGAACGAACTACCCGTACCGCCCACTGAAGGAAGGCGAGGTTTAGTGGGGCTCCCGTTTCAGTCCGTCCTTGGTAGGCTCTGAGGCAGTAAGCTGTGCAGAGGGGACGGTGGAGGAGAGCCGCTGCCTCCTGCAGGCGAGGAAGCCAGAGTCACAGGAGGAGCCAGGAAGGGAGATGAACCTTCCAGGCTGCGCGCCCAACGACTGGCCTCTTGCGCTCAACCCCGCCGCCTCCCAGCAAGTCAGCTAAGCTGTCGCATAGTCCGGCACCCTCTTAAGCCCTGCCTGTGTGCCCCGGAGGCTGCCTGGGGACATCGCACTGTAAACAGAACTCCGCTATTGAACAGAGTGCCTGTTACCCAGAGAAAGAAGCACTGGGAGGAGTTGAGAGTATTTTCTTTTTTGATGTCTTGTTGGTTTATTCTAAAAGATATAAAGGGTATAGGTAGACAGCAGGCTCACAGGGTGAGGCCTGGGAGGGTTCAGAGCACAGGTGCATCTTTCTTGGTAGAGCTGGTCTGTCCCATCCTTGCAGCATAGAGATGCATCCTCCAGCCCAGAAGGGCTGAGTTTTCTCTCTCTCTGTCTGTCTCTGTCTCTCTCGCTCCCCTTCTTTTCTCTGTGTCTTTGTTTCTTTTATTTTGTGGTGCTGGGGATTAAACGGAAGGCTTGCACATACTAAGCAAATTCTCCACCACTGAGCTACACCCACAGCCCCTAAATATTTCCTTCACATTCTTGTTCAGTGCTTTTGCCTTAATAACCTAGTTGAGTTAATAATAACTAATAGTGCTTAACCTCTCTTAAGCTCTTACACGCACCAGGTACTTTAAGTGCTGTAAAGGAATTGCCTTGAATCCTTGAGATACGTTTATGTGGTGGGTGTTAATGTCACCTCCTTGTAAATTAAGCATACAGCGGCTGCATAATTTCCCTGCACTTACATGGCCAGGGAGGGGCGGAGGCCATATGTGAACTTCCACTGCAGTCTGACTGGGCTTTCTGACCCTCTCCCCTGCCTTCGAAGTGGGAGAAGGGCTTCTGGTATTTCTTCTTAGTGAAGTAGGTTAAGCACTGGGGCTTGCATTTGCTATCTTTGAAGCTCAGGCTGAGAGGCAGGAGTTGAGCTTGTGACTGGACTTACGCTTCCCAGGCAGTGCAGGGCTGGTTTCTAAGGCTGATGAGGACCATCTTGGGTCCCCTCCCCATGGCCCAACAGACATTTGCAGGTAAAACATTGCTTTTTGTGCCCATAGACACAGAACTAGTTCGGCTGCTGGCATCTGTCTGCATGCAGGTGAATAAGGACAAAGGCCGGCCAAGCCACCCACCACCTCTGCCCCACTCGAAGGTCAGAGAGCCATGGAGCATCCCGGTGCTGCCCGATGACAAGGGTGGCCTGAAGGTTTGCCTCTCCCTGTCCTAAAAGCTTTAGAGGGCCAGGACGATGGCACGTGTTGGGGAGTCTGCTGCTTGTGTTCTGCCAAGGCTGTTTTAGCTGAGGGTCCCAGAACGGCTGCAGGTATGCTGGGGGTGAGCAACAGGAAATGATGGGGGCCAGGTGATCAGAACCACCCTGGGGCAGCACCAGCTGCTTTGCAAGAATGTGGTTCCATGTTACAAGATTTCCACTATTTTTCCGTGAGAAACCAGAAATGCCTGCTTTTGCTATGAAATCTCAATTTATAAATACAGAGTTTTAAAAAAATTCTGCAGGCTATAGTCCAGAGCTGGCTGAACTGCACCTTACCACAAGGTGTCTGTTTTGGCCTCTGCTTCACCATGTTAGACATCTGCTAATTGGGCTACTCAGGGTCTCCCCACGGTCCCTTCAGCAACTTCCTGGGAGCAGCTGCAGCTGTAGGAAGAGGTGCTGTACTGTGAGTGGCAAACGCCTGTCTTGGGGCCAGTCACTGCCCCTGAGTCTCCCTCCTTGTGTGACCTGTGCTCTGCATTTCCCACAGTCCTGGTGGAACCGGATGTCCAATCGGTTCCGCAAGCTCAAACTGATGCAGACACTGCCCCGCGGGCTGTCCGGCAACCAGCCCTTACCTTTTGCCGATGAGCCTGAGCCAGCGCTGGACTCCACAATGAGAGCCACCCCCCAGGACAAGACGGGCTTCCCTGGACTCCCCAGTGTGGCCCTCGTGACCAAAGGCAATGGTAAGAAAAGATTGCAGGTGGTCAGAGTTTCAGCATGGTCTGACCCCACACTGCTGCCTTTGTCCCACCTGCTACTTCTTGATCTGTCCCTGGGGATGAGATGATGTTGGAGTGCAGCCCTGGGGCAGGGTGACTGGCTGGAGGAGAAGGGATGTGGGCAGCACCAACCAGAGGGAGAAGTCCCAGGTCCTTGCCCCACACTTCCTGCTGGAGGGTCACAGGTCAGTCAGTGCTTCTGCCTTGTCTTTGGTAGGTGGTTTTCCCCACCTATCCAATGCAATTGCTTTGTGGTACTGAAAGTATCTTGAAACAGACTACGTCACCTGGAGAGGGTAGGTAGTGAGATCCCTACTCCTGGGAGTCTTTAACAAACTGGAGGACATCACTGGGTTATTGAAGGAGATTTCCATGCTTCTGGGAAAACTGATCAGCTGAGATCCCTGGAACAGTCAGATTTCCCTTCCCCAGACCAGCTCCTTCGGCACCACTGTCTGAGACAGACTATTGAGTAGGGCGCTTGACTGTCTGGCCAAGCACAACAGTGGTTTATGGAAAAGCAGAAAACATGCTCTGAGGTACCTTTTAAACGCTTTCCTTCTATTAAAATATTGAATACCAATGATTATTAAATATTTAATCACCCGGGAGAGTTGGCTTTCCAGGACGAAGGCCGCCCCATCACTCATCTTCATGCCACGGTCACAGGGGAGGGTCATTTCAGGAACTTCCATTTATCTCTCAGGTCCTGGGAGCACGAGAGGAGAAAAGGAAGATGCGTTATTGACAACCATGGTGAGTGTGGGCTTCTCTAAAAGCGTTTTAGGTCTCTGCCAATCATTAGATGATTGATTTTTGAGGAAGGATGTGGGCGTTTATCTTTCTTGGTGGTAGTCACAGATGTGGTTGATGATCAAACTGTGCAACAGTGGGTCCAGCTCTAGTACCCGAATGTTAGACCCAGCCCTGACCCATAGGTAAGGTTATGCTGGGTTTGGTGGCCAGATACAAGTTCTGTTCTTAGGTGGGGACTGAGGGTAGGTATTGGTGGGCAACACTGGATGTGAAGATGCACCACTGTGGTTGTGGTGAGTCGGGGGAGGAGAGAATGTTTCCACCATAGGAGAGACCTCTAATCTGTAAACCAGAGCTGCATTGGGATTCGTTCAGTTCAGCTGTGACAAAAGTCCCAAAGAACAGTGGCATAAATAAGGCAGCACCTGCTTCTCTCAAGTACATTAAGTTTGGGACTAAGCCCTGAACTCCTTCTACCTGTTGGTTCCCCATGTGTGGCTGCTATTCCCAAGGTCACCTCTCAGTCCAAGGTGGTGGCCAGAGCTCTGGTCATTACTACCTCATTTGAGCCGGCAGAAAGAGGAAGGGAGGAAAGGTGGCCGTAGATGCATGCCAGCCATCTTTAAAGAACTTTCCTAGAAACCTGCATGCATCTTTTTTTTTCAAATTGGGTAGAATTTAGTCCCACGGTCACATCCCCACTGCAGGGGAAGCTTGACAGTAAAGGCTTTATTCAGGGTGGTCACTTATGTGCCTCTGTAAATATCAAGGATAAAGTCATTTCTAAGGAAACCATGTCAGGTAGATACTGGTGGACTGCAGTCTCTAACTGACTGACTGACTAGTGGGCTGTAGTCTCTGACTTAGCAATGACATCCCTCCTGGTTGGGGTTTTTAAACAAAACCACGTCCAGAAGAGGCCACTAATCTATAAACTTAGCATGGTGCCTGGCCCAGAATAAGTTCTGCCGTGTGACCTTGGATATATGATCTTATTTTCCGGGCTTTGCGTTCTGTGAATGAGAGAATAATCTTATAGTTTAAGTCCCTTTAGCACTAAGACCTGAGTCCTGGCCAGCAGAGGGCAGTATTGGCAAGGACAGCGACCCTGCGAAGCTCACCTGAGGGTGTGGGCAGCATCAGGAGCTGCGGCGCTGGCCAGTGTTCCTGACCTCTGTCCGTGATCTGCTGCTGTGCCAGCAGGTGTAAATTGTGGCCCTGACTGATCCTGAGAGCTTATGTGACCTGACATTTGATCGTGTTATCAAATCTCAATAATTACTTTCAGTATGAAGACAGAGATGCTATGATAGGCATTTTGAAAGGTGCAGTAAAGTATCAAGAAGGAAAATAAAATCACTCTTGCTCGTGGACCCAGATAGAATTGTGGTTGGCATTTTGTGGTATATATCTTTTGAGTATTTTTCCTAAGCATTTTTTAGCATCTATGAATATGATATTATGTTGTGTGTATGTATAATAATAGCAAATACCACAGCACTGACTAAATACCAGCACTATTCTCGGCCTTTCATGACTATCAGCTCATTTAATCTCCCCCAGAACCATGTGAGGCTGACGGCATTATTGTCTCTGTGTTGTGTCCCACTCGGCTTGCTAGCAACCAGCCACGACCAGCTTTGCCCTGTTGCCGAATACTCTTTAGCCACGTCATGTTTCATGGCCGTGTGATGAGAGTTTCCACTCTGAGAGGGCTTTGCCCAAGACTGAGCGGTTGGCCTTCGGGAATTCTAGTTTCTCACTATTTCAGCAGCTTTGCCAAATGACCTTAAACCTCCACCTTCCCTACTTCCAAATTGTATCTCAGGGTAAATATCTAGAAGTGGAATTCCCGGGCAAAGGGTGTGGTTGTCATTGCCTTCCAAAACGGTGGCGACTTAGGCTCATGACCCAGAGGGTGAAGTGCCCATTGGTGGTAGCTTCGCAGCTGTCTGTCCAGCCCGGCCCCTCACAGGCTGGAAGAGGTTGTGGAGTCTAGCGCGGAAAGCGCTCATGCACAGACTCTCAAAAAAACAGCACAGTGGCATGGGAACCCCTCCTGCCCAGGCACTCTCCCGTGCCCACTCACACTCTGGGCACCACTGCACCCGCTCACTGTCCCTGGCAGGCATAGGTGCCCTGTGGCTCCGTGGATGCCGAGTGGGCGTTCGAAGTCATTGGTGCAGAGATGCCGCCTGCCCAGCTCCTGAGGCGGGTTTAGCTGTGGGATGCCCATCCCTGCAAAGCACCATCTGGCACCCAGTTCGCTGTCTTTTCTTAATTAAAGTGAGTGTGGACCGTGCTAGTGCGCTTCCCTGACAGTCCAGCAGTCACGGCTCTGTGGATTTTATACTGACCCCATCACACTTTCAAAATGTAACATTAAATTGTTGCCGAAAATGTCAGCGGTGGGAGGCGTGGCTGGAGGGCGCAGGGCAGGAAGGAGCTGGGTTCCCAGCCCGAGCCCCACATCCCCTGCTGCTCTTCTCCAGCCCTCAGCAGCTCTGCATCCTCGCCTGGCTCACTGGGCCCCAGGCCTTCCGCAGCCTGTGTGCTGGCATGCTCTCTCCCCTGCACTGTCCAGTCCCCACCCCCACGGTACCCGCTTGCTCCAGACGGGGGAGCACACCTCCTGCACTGGCATCTTGCACACCTCCTCAGCCCTCTGGCCCTGCTGCCCCCTTCGTTCTCATTTTTATAGCACAGGTGTGGGTGTTGTGGGCTGCTGGGAGGAAAGCTGGGGACACCACCTGGGTTCCTGGATTGGGTGGCAGGGTGGGTGGTGGCACCAGTTCCTTTGAGGAATGGGGAAAACCTGGAGACTTCCCAGGAGCCGGAGCCCTCCTGAGCTCACCTTACCCTTGGCTTGTCTTTTTCAGCTTCGAAATGGAGCCCCTTTTACCAGACTCCCAAGTGACAAGCTGAAGGCTGTCATCCCGCCTTTCCTGCCCCCTTCCAGCTTTGAGCTGTGGAGCTCCGATCGGTCCAGGACCTGTCAGAATGGGAAGGCAGAACCCATGAAGACTGCGCTGCCCCAGAGAGCCAGCAGGGGCCATCCTGTGGGTGGCGGGGGCACAGACACCGTAAGTTGTCCGGCCTCAGGCTTCGACGTGTCACTCGCAGAGATGGGGTGCAGTGCAGGCAGAGGGACCCCAGACCAACTAATCCTGGCTGGGGTCAGAGCTTTCTATTTTATTTTTTTAAGTGAGTGGTATCCTTGCCTGTTTAAATCCTACAGAGAACTCAGTATATCTGAGATATTAAAGTGTTGCTTCCGGGAGCATCTATCACCTCTCTAGATGCTGGACTCTGGGGAACAAAGTCTGAAGACCAGATTTGTCTCATCTAACCTTCCTGTCAGTAGATGAGGAACAGGGGCCCAGAGAGGGGATGTGATTTGCTGCAGATTCCCAGTCAGATGGGAGTGGGTCTGGGACTAGAAGTCAGGCTCTTGGCTTCTGACCAAGCCCCGTGCTGTAGTTCCGCTCAGTATTCTCGCCAGAGCACGAACGCCAGGAGGCTGCCCTGCTGGTGCTGCCTCGAGGGAGTGAGACTTCTGCCCACAGCAGTGTCCACTTCTGTAGGACCCTGGGCTCCGTGCTTCTGGTCAGGGTGGGAGATGGTCTCTCGCCTGTGCTGTGTCTGTACTGCCCCTGCTGCTGTGAGCCCAGTGGTTGGAGAAACCAGGGGCCTCCGTCGCTGTTGTGGGCTGAGCCCCTGTGCCTGCTGCTCCCTTGCCCCAGAGCTGTTACACATGAAACCACCAGTGGGAGACCCAAGAGCCTGGTGCCTGGAGATGCCTGCAAGTTGCAGGACTGTGCGCGCCTTCAGTCCGCTGTTCTAGGTCAGGAAGGGAAGCGGCCGGACTCATGGAACTGTCCCTGAGAGTTCTTCCCAGGACTGTTTTCTTGAGAATGTCCGTAGGGGGACTGAATGCCAACATCACCTGCTTCATCTCCTCAGCGCCATGGAGTGTGGTCACCCCAGTGCTGCCCCAGAGGAGGCTCCAGGCAGGGTGGCATACACAGAGCATGAGGCAGGGTGCTGGGTGAGGCGTGTCTGGGACCAAATGTGTATGCTGGGGGCTGTGCAGGGGCAGTCAGGGAGGCCCCCAGGAGGCGGTGACATTGGAGCAGGATTCTCTGCCTGTAGAGTTTTCTCCCTTATGCAGAGCAGAGAGTCTGGGAGTGAGGCCGTGGCAGGCATGTGCTGTCTTCTGCCACAGCCCTTCCTTGCGTGGCCATGGTGGAGCTGTCTGTGGCTGCTGTGACAAATCACCCGAAGCCAGGAACCTTAAAACAGCAGTAGTTACTCTCAGTTCTAGAGCCCCGAGCCGGGAAGCAAGGCAGAGTCTGCAGGACTGTGTTCCCTCTGGCTGGGGGACTGTCTCTGTGAGCTCTAGCTTCTGCAGCTCTAGGCATGTCTTAGGTTGTGGCCCCATCTCTCCAGTCTCTGTCTCCATGGTAACAGAGCCGCCTCTTTCACCAGAATTCCCTCCCCGCTTTGTCTTAGAAGAAGATGTGCAGTTGCTTTCAGGGTCACCCAGGCCATCTAGGATAAGCTCCGCTCCTGGGAACTCTGAAGCCTGTCTAAGATGAGCGTGTGTAAGGTAATAATCACTCATGCCTTACCGGGTTACTTTTTGGACATTCTGGACACATGGGACATCCCTTTGGAGATCACCATTTAGCCCACTTCCGCCATCAGTCATTCTTCCTGGATGCCTTCCGCGTGCCCAGGCCAGTGCTGGGTCCTGGGAATACAGTGGAGGGCACAGTCCTTGGGAAGCTCAAAGGATCAAATACACGAGGACACAGCAGATGTGTACTCGTAAGTTGTGAGAGGGGCTATTGGGATGACCAGGGTGCTGGACAGGCCAAGCAGTGTGTGTGGGAGGTGCGGCAGTGTAGACCACCTCAGCAGGGCAGGCCATCGACACCTGAGGTTAAAAGACAAGGGCTGAAGCTGGTGGTGCAGAACCAGTACCCGGGCAGAGACCCTGGGGCACAAAAGGGACTGGCCGGGAATCCAAGGATGTCTGTGTGATAGGAGTAGAGTGAGTGGAGCTGGTGAGGCCAGAGAAGAATGTGACCAGGCACACTGGGGCACTTGGGACCACGGTGTCAAGAATGGTTTCTGAGAGGCTGACGCTGGAGCAGGGCTGCAGGATGGGATGGGAGGAGACTTTCCTGAGCCAGCAGGGCCGACGTGGGAGAGGTAAGCTCAGAGCAGAGAGGTGGTCACCGAGGCAGGCTTTGCTCAGGATGATTCTGCCCTGGGTGACTGGGCCTTCTTGGGCTTTTTAGTGAATGACATGGTTAGGTTTTCTTCTTGGCCTAGAAGATTTCAGTGAGGCTGAAGGTAGGGTGATCAGTGAGGCAGTGTCACAGGCCCAGCCTGAGCTAATGCACTTTCTGGAACACATTCTGTAGAAGACAGAAGCAAGCCCCATCCCTTAGGAGACTCCCAGCAGGCTGAGTGCAGGCTGGCAAGGGTGTGCTGGGCCGGTGCTGGCTCGGCACATCTGCTGGAGGGAGTGGCAGGCCCTCACCACCGCACCACCTTGTTCTTGCAGACCCTCGTCAGGCCGGTGAAATTTCCCAGTCTCTCCCGAAGCCCAGCCTCTCCTGCCAATTCTGGAAACTTCAACCACTCGCCTCATTCCTCAGGCGGTTCCAGTGCAGTAGGGGGTGTGAGCAGGCATGGAGCAGAGCTTCATAACCGCTCAGGTGCGTAGGGGCGGAGTCTCACGGGGAAGAGGGATGCCCCCCCCCCAGGCTGAGGGTGCCCGCTGTCTCTCCACCCAGTCTGCACACAGCCCAGGAGTGGCACACCCAGGTGACTTTCTCCCTGACGTGGACAAGGGTGAATTAATGATTCAGTGCTTTAAGCATTTTCTTTGGGGTGAGGGTGATGGAGAGGAAAGAAATGGAGTCAGAATGCTCTTTCCTTGTAAAATTTTCTGAGAAGTTAAGAGAAATGCAGGATGTTCTCATGGTGCGTAGGACCCTCGAAAGGCTGACACTTAGAGAGTTTCCGTCCGGCCCACTCACTGACGAGGTGAGGAAACTGAAGCTCAGAGCGTCACAAGCAAGGTGGTGGCAAGTAAGCCTCAAACCAGAGTCCTTGTTTTTGGGCTCACAGCAGACTTCTAGTTTTCCCAAGAGCACCCAGGACGAACAGAGCCAGCTTTGCAGGAAGGCTCCTGCGTTGTGCTATTGCATAAGGCTGTGTGATGCTGGTGGAAAAGCTTTAAGACCGGGTAAACCCAAAGGCTGAAAAAGCTACGAATTCTCCCACTAGGGACCAGCATTAACATTTTAGCGTATGTCCTTGCAAACTATTCTTATACATATTCTGAATATTTATAAAAGAATAATAATGTATCGTGCACTATGCCAGGCACATTGCCAAGCCATTTAAAGAAGCAAGCTCTTTCAGGCTCCTGACAACCTGCGGGTTTATCATCTTCATTTTACAAAGAAGGACACTGGAGCTCAGGACAGTCAGATAACTCACCCGAGGTCACACAGCTCTTCAGTTGCAGGGCCAGGACCTGAACCCAGGCACCTTGACTGCAGAACCCGTTCTCATAGCCACACATCTTACTGAGCTGTAGTAGACTGTAGACTGCTCTATGAGCTCCCTTTTTTCCCCCACACACTACAGGACTGTGAGCACCTTCCTGTGCTAATATCCATGTATCTACTGCAGCTGTTTAGTGACAGAGTAGCGTACTGCTCACAGGAGGCGTCACCGTTTGTGTGGTCAATCCTTGCTTGCTGTGCCTAGGTCTTTGCCCTCATAGACTATGCCACTCAGGGACACCTGCATGTTTCCATCTTTGCTTGTTCAGTGATTTCCTTAGCATAAGTTCCGTAGGATCCAAACTGGGGGTCAGGAGGTTTGCCTGTTTTTGAGGCTTTGGATACGTTTTGCCTTCTGGAAGGCTCTCTGTTTATGTGCGTAAAGTATTTGCAACAGTGCCTTGCACATAGTAGATGCTCCATAAATAGCAGCTGTTAGTGGCCTCCCCTGAGTACACCCAGCCCTGAGTATTACACTTTCTCCGTCTTCTCTAATAACTGAAGGTTACCGGTGTGCAGGGAAACAGAGGGGAAATGGCAATCAGGACGCAATCAAGAAAGCAGATCACTGTGCATCCACTGTGCATCATGGAGTGAGGAATTTAGTGACAAGGTGGTGTAGAGAAAAGCAAGGCCACACTGGACTTTACCCACCCGCCTCCTTCCTGGCTTCTTACCACGATGACCTTGCACTGTTGTGGCTGCCGTCCCCGGCCACCTTCTGGCTCTTGTGCAGCACTCTTCCATGGTCAGCCTGTCCTGAGCTGCTCCGGCCAGGGCGTCTGAGAGGAAGTCCAGCCAAACCAGTGCGCAACACTCCCGCCCGCCCATGTGCAGTAAATACTTAGCCCATGGTGATCATTCTTGTTTCTCTTTCCTTAGGTGGCAGCGTGGACAGTGTCTTGTCCCAGATTGCTGCCCAGAGGAAGAAAGCAGCAGGATTATCTGAACAGAAGCCCAGCCAGCGGTCAAGCCCCGTGGGCCCTGCACCAGGTCCTACCTCACCTGAGCTCCCAGCCTCTCCTGTGGGCAGCAGTGTTCCCAGCAGCAAGGTGCTTGTTCCCTGTCGGCTCCTCCTATTGCTCCTGCAAATGTGTCTGAATGGGGCCCTGGAGCTGGGAGCCCAGGGGTGCCAACAGTGCTGGTAGCTATTAGAAACCCTTGGTGCCACCTCATCCATCCATTGTGGCATCTCCAGAGGGCCTTCCTGTGCCTGGCACTAGCAGTGGGGATCGGGCTATGAAGTGGGGGTTTGACTACCTTCATGGGTTGCAGAGGACACAGGTAGGTCATGGAAGAGGATGCTGTGAACACTTGAGGCTATCAGCTACATTCTGGTGGGCCGTGGAGGGTGGAAAAGGAGCCAGGTGAAGGGCGTAGGTGGTTAGGAGTGTGGATGCAACTATTCCCGGGCAAGGGCACCGCTTGCCTGTGCTCTGCAAGTAAGGGTATGGCATAGGGGAGGAGCCGGAAGCACTTAGAGAGAATTGCCAGAGTCTCACCTCCCTGCTTCTGGCCACTGTCCCTCTGTTAATGCAACCTGGGAATGGTCACTGCACTGCCAGTGTTTATGAGGTGTGCAAATGGACGAGAAACCCTAAATGTGTCTCTAGTTGGGAGTGTTTTAGTGTCCTGAGGGTCTTCTCCTCCCTGGTTGATTGATGGAGAGAGCCCTGAAGCCCAGCTCCTAGTTCCCCACTATGGGGCTCCCCAACTGCTCCTCAGTACTGCAGCTCCGATGGTTTCCTCCTCTGAGAGCACCCTGACTCGAGACATCCCTCACTCTTCATCGTGCTTCCTAGATGTCCTACATGTGTTCCCTGAGAAGAACCAGATCATGGAAAGTCTCCTCGCTGCACTTGTGCCCACCACAGAAGCCCCTCCAGAATCTTTGGGTTTTGTGTTTATGTGGTGCTTGGGACAGAACTCAGGGTGTTTGCTAAGCAGCTGTTCTCCCACAGACTGTATCCTTACACCTGGATTTATGTCTTAATGGATGTCTGAGGAATAGCCTTTATTTTCTGTCCAACCAGTGTTGGTTACACAACTTTCCTTTTGTTCAAAGTGCTGATGCAATAGGACATCCGTAGTTAAGTTTCTTTTGCAATTTTAGCTTTGGAAAATGTTTCTCCCTATATATTAGCTTATTTTCCATTATGTTCAAGATTTTATATATATAGATATATAGATATAGGTGTATCTCTATATATCTATATATAAAGGACCCATGTAATTAAGTTCATTTTAGAGTTCAGCTGTAGAAAAAGTTTCTACTGATGTTGTAATATATTTTCTTTTATTAGATGGTAAGAATTTATATAATTACTGTATTTCTCTTTTTGTATTTGCTGCTAGGAAACTCACTACTACTCATTAAAGTAAGTCTGCTAGCCTGGGGCTTTTGAGATAGTTTTTCTCTTTTCTGTTGTCTAAAATGTTCTGTTTCTATTCTGATGACCTTATTAGATGAGGTAGATATTATTAGCTTCTTTTACTGTATTTTGGTATTGGAAATAGATATCTATGTTATAAATTGTATTAAGTGTTACCTTACTTGGATATATCTGTTGTGTAACCTACATACATGTATTTTCTGATGAAAGGAAATTGACTGCCAAAGGAGCATTCAGGAAACAAGAAGCTGGGGAAATGATCCATCTCAGTGATCTCCTGATACTCTTAGCGTACTAATCTGCTATAACCTTGGGAGATGTTTAATAATGTTTCTGGGCTCCACCCAGCATAACTGACTGAAGCTCTCAGAAGGGTGCAGGGAATCATTTCTCCCCACAGAGAGTCTATTACAGCCAGCCCAGCCCACAGCTCTTAGAAACCGCTGCCCTAAATCAAAGGACATAGAAGTGGGCTTTCTGTCACAGGCTCCAGCAGTAAATGGAGACATGAAGTGCTATCAAAGGCTCCCTTAGGAAGAATTAGAAATTAGTCTTCAAAATATGAGCCTCTGAACCTGGTTTTTCAGGCTTTGCTTAAGAACAGTGACTCACTGTAATGGTGGCATGCACAGGCTGGCTTCCTCATACTTGAAAGTGTGAAAGAGGGTTGGAGATACAGAAAGGATGAAGGGGAGCACACCACCATTCTTGGTCTCCAGAGGTACCAGGGGCCCACTAGAGATAGGTATCAACCTCCTTCTCCCACCTTAAAACTCAGTGGTTTCAAGCAAATAGCATTTATTTAGCTTGTGCACCTGCAGGTGTATTGGTTAGTGTGAACTTTGCTGCGCAGTTCTAATCTGAGGGATCCTCCATCTGGCTGGCTGGTGACTGGAGTGGCTGACAAGTACCTGAAAGCCTCGATTGAAAGCAAGTTAAGCTCTTGGAAGCACATGAAGCCAGGTGGCACCCAGAGTGGCACAGCAGAGTGTGTGGACCAGAATGTGGGAGATGTGGAAAGGACACCACCACAGCAACTAGTCCTCCACCCTGGGGATGTGGAGGGGTGTTTCAGAGAGCCCCAAAGGATCTTTATTTTCTGCCCCTTTTCCCCAGTACTGTCCACAGGGTCCAGTGTATTAGATCTCTTTGCTTTTGGTTGGGGGAGATCTGTTTCCTAGCAATATACCAATTGCTTCCTGTTTAATCAGCAGCTCTGCTTGGAAATTATTTATAGGAAGTAAAGGGAAGAATGTTTAAGGATATAGGCAGCTTGTTAACAGAATCTTTCAAAACCTTAGGGATGGCCTTCTTTTTCTACACTGGGATATAGTTAGTGAGAGGGAGCATTAAAGGCTTAGTAGAAGAAAGAGTATATTCATTTCTAGACATAAAAATGGTTTATCTTAGTCTCTACTATGCTACACAAGATTTCCAATTTTTAACAGAAATTATAAGATAAATAAAAAGGCAAGAAAAGCCACACTCCCACGAAGCAAAGCAGTCATGAGAATCAAACTAGGTATGACACAGGTGTTAGAATTATCAGTCAGGGAATGTAAAATAACTATAACTAATATGTTAAAGGCTGTAATGGAAAATGTGAACACACAAGAGCATATGACTAACTGTTCCAGTAGAGAGATCCTTTAGCAAGAAAGGATCAAATGGAAATGCCAGGAGTAAAAAGCAGTAACAGAGATGAGGAAAGCCTTTGACAGGCTCCTCACACTTGACACAACCAAGGACAGAATCAGTGAACTTGAAGCCGTAGAAATTACCCTGGCTGAAACACAAAGAAGCTTAAAAAAAAATCCAGAGCACTCAAAACTTGTAGGATAATGCTTGACATATAAATGATTGGAATCCCTGGAAGGGGATGGAGAGGGGGAGGGAGAGAGAAAGAGAAGGGAGAGAGAGAACAAAGGGAGGGAGGGGGAGAGGAGAGAAGGAAAGAAAAAAATATTTAGAGAAATCATGGCTGAGAATTTTCTCAAATTAATGACAGATGGAAAATCCATAGATCCAGGAATTACAGAGAACACTAAAGAGGAAAATACGAAAAAGAACACACCTAGCCATATTAGGTTTAAACTACTAAGAATGAGGCAATAGAAAATCTTGAAAGCTGCCCGAGGGGGGAAAATAAGGAAATTACATACCAAGAAAGAAAAGTAAGAATTACAGCAGATTTCCTGTCAGGAACCATGCAAAACAAAAGCAAAATCATGACAACTTTAAAGCACTGAAGGGAAAATTTGAGTTATGCCAGCTCATAAAATGAATTGGGAAGATTGTCTCCTTTCCTGTTTTTCTGGAAGATATTATATACAATTGGTATTACTTTCTCCATAAATGTTTGGTAAGATTTGCCAGTGAGACTACCTGGGCCTGCCATTCTTTTCATGGACAGTTTTAACTTAACAAAACTTATATTATTTCTTTATAGACATAGGACTATTCAGGCTATTTGTTTCTTCTTGAGTGAGCTTTATATTTTGTTATCATTCAAGGAATTGTGCTTTTTATCTAAATTGTTGAATTTGTGATGCAGAGTTGTTAGAGTAGTCTTTATCTTAATGTGTGGGGTCAGTAAGAATGTCTCCTTTTTCATACATTGGTACTTTATAATGTCTTTTTAAAAAATTTTTTTGGTCAATCTAGCTAAAAAGTTTATTGAGTTTATTGATGTTTCCAAAGGATCACTTTCGGTTTCATTGATTTTTCTGTTTTTAATTTCATTGATTTTTTTTTTTTTTTTTTTTTGAGACAGAGTTTCACCATGTAGGGCAGCTTGGTCTTGACCTCACTTATGTAGCCCAGGATAGCCTTGAATTCATGGTGATCCTCCTGCCTCAGCCTAGAGTGTGCTGGGATTGCAAGTGTGTGCTGCCACACTCGACCAATTTCATTGATTTCTGAAGTTGTTTATAATTTCTTTTCCTTGCTTGCTTTCAGTTTTACCTTCTTTCTCTAGTTTCTTATGGTGGAAGTTTTCATTACTCTTTAGAGATCTTCCATTTTTCTTAAAACAAGCATTTAATGCTATAAATTTACTTCTAAGTGCTGCTTTTCCTGCGTCCTACAATTGTTAAAATATCTTTTCACTTCCTTTGAGACTTTTTCTTTGGCTTATTATTTAGAAGTATATTGTGTCTTTTTCAGTAATTTGTGAGTTTTCCATAAATTTTCCTGTCAATAATTCCTAATTCAGTTCTATTATAATTCTGTTCCTATTCCTTTAAGTGTATTGAGGTCTCTTTTATGCCCTTGTTTGTCAATCTCACATACACCTGAGAAAAAAATATTTTGTCATAGTTGGGACAGGAAGGTTCTATAAATGTCAGTAAATGTCCATTAGGCCTGGTTAACTGGTAGTGTTGTTCAGGTAATCAGTATTCTTACTGATTTTCTGTCTGCTTTTTCTATAAATTACTGAGGACTCTTAAGGTTTCTAACTGTAACTGTGTATTAGTTGATTTCTCTTTTCAGATCTATTGGGTTTTGCCTCACGTATTTTGAAGTACTGTATGCATTTGGGATTATTACATCTTAATGATCCCTGCATCATGAGGAAATGCCCCTCTTAGCCCCTAAGATTGGGAACAAGAATGTGTTTTCATGACATAAGAAAGAATGTGACAGATCAATAGCCCTCATGAATGTAAATATAAAAATCTTCCACAAAATTTAAGCAACCCAAATTTCATGATAAATAAGAAAGGTAATACACTCTAGTGAAGTGGGGTTCATCCCATGAGTGCAAGTCTGGTTAAGCATCAGAAAATCAAACAAGGCACCCACCTTACTACAGGCTAAAGGAGATAATGCAGAAAAAATCACATAACAAAATTCAAAACCTACTCATGACAAAAACTATCAGCAAAGGAGGAATTGAAGGGCACTTCTTGACTTTGGTGTAAAATGCCTCTTAGTGGTGTCACACTTGGTAGTAAAAGACCCAGGTGCTTTCCTCTAAGGTCAGGGGCACGAATGTCACCTCTCACCTCCAGCTTTCATGCATCACAAACTGTCACTACTGTAATAGGCCAGGAAAGACAATAAAAGGCATACAGAGTGGAAAGGAAGAAATAAAGCGTTTGTTCCCTTAGATGATATGGTCATTTACACAGAAAACTTCAAAGATCTGCACCAAAGCAATGAGTTCAGCAAGGTCTCAGGATACAAACTCAGTATAAAAACATCAATCATATTTCTTTATACTAGCAGTGAACAACTGTTAGAATATCTTTAGTTAACATTTTTTTTTCCAAAAAAAATACAGTATATTTGAAATATAAGAAATTATGAAATTGCAATACTTAGGTATACATTTAATAAAACATGCAAAATCTACAGGTTGAAAACTGCAAAACACAGATCAACAGAAGACCAAATAAATGGAGCAAGGGAAGGCTTAGTATTGCTAAGATACAAATTGTACAGCTAGTTCTCATAGCCATGGGGTCAGGTCACCTGGGCTTCCTGATCTTGAGTGTACCTCTTGGTATCCACTTATCTCTCTGCTTCAGGGTGGATTTTCCTGTAACTGTTTCTGCTTTGCATGCATGTGGAGTAGATTTCCTGGCTAGATAGCCTGTTGAGTCAGATGCTACCCATGTTCCTTGTTGTGGGCATCTGTTCTCATCCTTTGTACCCTCCAGGTGATGGCATGTGTATTTATTTGTCTGATTTTCTTTAACAGAAATTGGAGACCAGCAAACGGCCTCCATCTGGAACTTCCACTACCTCCAAAAGCACCTCCCCTACCCTCACGCCCTCCCCTTCACCCAAGGGCAACACGGCCGAGTCCTCGGTGTCTTCCTCCTCGTCCCATCGGCAGTCTAAGAGCAGCGGGGGCTCCAGCAGCGGCACCATCACAGATGAGGGTGAGTGGGCTGGGGTCCCGAACCCCCTGCTGTTCCCTCACATGATGGCCTGGCAGCACAGAGCCACCTGGTGCTCCAATTGCTAGGTCAAGTTGTAAAAATATAAAACAAGCAAACATGTCTCTCCCCTTCCCCGATTCTGTCTTATATTTTTGTCTTCTACCTGCAAAGATGTGGTAAGCTCCTGTGAATGGTTTTTGAATGTGGGTTGAGTTTTGTTTGTGTGCACAAACACATACCCGTACAAATGCTTCATTATTAAGTTACTTACTTTTCTTGAACTCTGTGCAAACCAGGATTCTTTTAGTTGCAAATAAGAGAATCTACTCAAACTGATATAAGGGGAAAATAATAACTCATTGGCTCATATGATAAGGGTATGTTCCAGGCATGTCTGGACCCAGGTGCTTTGAGAACATTTCTCCATATCTCTCTCTGTTTGCTGCAGGTTGTGGGAAGCAGCTTCATGCTTACTTCACTCTCCTGATTTTTAGTGCTACTTTCTCAGTAGGCCCAAGCGAAACCCCATGGGTGGCTTATCAGCCTAGGTGGGCTGTATTTATGATGACTTGGTCCGTCCATGCCCACACTTGACTGTCTCTGTCTCTAGGGATGGAATGTATGGATTGGCCAGACCCAGGTCCGGTGTTTGCCTTTGGAGCCAGCATCCAGGTCTGCCTTGCCAGTGCTTGTGGTACAGATTAGAAGTAGGAGGGAAGGTGCAATTGCTAATCCCAGGAGGAGCAGGGCATAGATGCTGGGTACGAAAAGGCAACAGAGCTCCACTGCCACCAGGAGCGCTTGGCACATGGCTGTGTGGGCCTCACCCTGCTGTGGGATCCAGAGGGAAGGAAGGTAGGTTGGATGGCGGAACGGTGGAGGCTTGGCAGTGAGGCACAAGAAAGATACAGAAGGAGAAGACCTCATCTTCTCAAGTTGCCCTCTGGTGGGCCCTGGGTGCTGGCAGCTTTGGTGAGAGATGGGCCCAGGCAGGTGTGAATGAAGATATAAGTCAAGGGGAAAGCAGGTTTCCCAGGGGACCCTTCCGGGTGTGGTGCAGGTTAGCTCAGTGCAGGTGCCGGGGAGGCAGCTACCCCGGAGGACCTGCTAGGTAGCAATGAACCAGAATCCCTGCACAGCTTCTGCCTATATGGAGTTGATGGACGAGTGCTCCCCTAGTTTCCTCTTTATTTGGGGGCTGCTATATATTGTTGAGTGGAATTCAGCCACTCATTTACACGGGCTTGTGAGATTCACTGACAACCTTGTCCCCCCGACCCAGGCTTTCCACGTGGAGGCTAAAGGTCTCCACTCCTGAGTTTTCCCTCCTCCAAGGTCTTCAGGAACCCAAACCTCAAAAGGTTAAGTTAGGGATTTATACCCTACCTTCTTCAAAGAAGAGCTGTGACAGTGAGTATCTGTATGTACCGCCCATGCCCACTCTCTCCCCTTACTCTTCATAGAGGAAGGTTTGTAAAGCGCTAATTGGGATAGAGAAAGAGGAGAGCCAACAGTGGTTACCTCCCACGTTAATTCCTCTGGTTTAGAAAAAGCCTGGTTTTCCCTTCTGGAGTTCCCAGGTCCTAAGAAAGTGAGATCTTTGTCCTATAGACGGAAGATTGTCACAGGATAGTAGCCTCAGTCCATCCCAAACAGCTGTTCCTCCTGATCTTTTTCTGGGAAATGAGGGCCTCTGTTGAGGGCCACATGCAGGCTTTGCCTGCTCCGTCTGTACACCTGTGTCCCCCTGTCCAGGCTCCTCCTGCTAGAAGCAGCCAGGCTGTGATAATGTTGCCTCACATGTGTCCCTAGGAGCCTCTGGGGCAGTCAGCAGGCGCTGTCACTTGTGGCAAGTGTGAGGATGACGCAGTCATTGAACATCATAGTGGCAGTCAAACTTGTACTATCAGCAGAGCTTAGTGTCTCTTGCAAGACCCCCAGGAAAAGCACCGTTTGTGTGGGGTCACAAGGGCCGGGAAGGAGACGGGGCAGCTGTGCTCCAGAACTGTGTTAAGTGTACAGGAAATGACAGTCATTATTAAAAGTCAAATGACACAAACTTATAATTGATCAAATTATAAAGTATACAGGTGAATTGTAGTTTAGAAAATGTGTCCTTTACTAACTCTTTGGTACTGTTGCTTATCGCCTGTGCCTTCAGGCTATTTCCACCTCCCATCTGTGTGGTGGGAACACTGGGTATGTGGTGATGTGTTACTGCTGTCTGCCTCTCGCCAGCTCCACTCGGGATGCTGTGGTGGTGGGCTCCAAGGGGCTGCAGCAGGGGTATTTACACCAAAGAAACTGGCAAAACACCACCAATCAGGACTTGACTTAGTATTATTGTCTTACAGATTGTCTAGACATGATCCAGACTGTAGAAGATAAAGATGTTAATAATGAGGATTGGAATTTTTTTTGAGGAGGGGAGTACCAGGAATCAAACTCTGGACTTTGCACTTGCTAGGCAGGCGCTTATGCTGCTGAGCTATATCCCCGGTTCAGTAATGAGGATTAAATTGAAGAGTATGTCATGTCTGTAGCCGTTATACAGTAATTCTGAATAGCACAAACAATTGACAAAATATTTGTCCAGGGTGTGAAAAGCATGATCCAATTCAGCCAAGTTGCTCACGTGAAGTTCCAGCATATGTCTTCGTTGTCTCATTTTTGTCCTTACTTGTTCATGTAAACAAAACTGCCAGCCAGCGTTCTTGCGGAACTCCTCTCCTTGGCCGTGAGTGCACGAGTAGACGGAAATCAGCTGAAAGCGTTTGGTGAGGCTTAGTTGGCCCTATGGAGCTTGGAATAAGAAGTGCGCCTATTTCATTATTCCAGCGTGCTCTGCGCCCCACATGTCATTCAGATGTGCAGTGGACTCATGCACCCCTGCACACATGTATCCTCCCCACACAGCCAGCGGTGAGACTCCCTCCCGCGTGCCACTGTACGGACACTACGCGCCAAGGGGCTGCAGGAGCAAGGTTCACCATCGTGGAAGTACCGTGGATTAAGTGTGGGCTGGCCTTGATTTCGCAGCTGCCCCCTCTTGTGAAGCTCTCCGCAGTCGCCTGGCTGTGCCTCTCTGTCCCTCAGCCCGTGTTCTTGCCCTTTACTGTAGATGTGCCGCCATGACAAATGGCAGAGCAGGAGGCTTAGCACCGGCCGGAAAGCCAGACCACTGGGTCTGAGTCCCTCCCTTACCAGGGTCTAGTAGTGTGACCTCCCCCAAGACTCAGGTCCAACCTCTGTGCCTCAGTTCACCTTCTGCAAATGAGGACAGCAGCAGTGTCTCCCGCCCACGGTTGTGATGAAGGAGGAAATGGGTTATCTGTGTAGAGGGTGCCCAATGGCCAGTACCATGTGTCCGGTTCAGAACTAGCACCCCCATCATTGCATCTGCCGAGCCTGTCAAGTTCCTCAGAGAGTCTCTGTGCCCTCGCTTCCCAGCAGGCTGCAGACATCCTGGTAGCCACTGCTGAGTGTGTGAGTGAATGAAAAAAGCAACTAGCTCTCACATCCTCTTTGAACTCATCCACTGCCTCAGGACCTTTGCACCTCCTGTTCTCTCTCCTTGGGTGGGGCTTCTGTCTTCCTTTGGATAGCTACGTAGCCTGCTCCTTATGTACTGTTCACATGTCACCTGATAAGGGAGACCTTCACTGACCACCCTCTGCAGAACAACATCCTCCTGTCCTGTGTTGCCTACCCCGACCCCACTGTCTCCTTCATTGCTGCCTGTGGCTTATCAGCCTCTATGCCATCTCTTTGGGTCCCTGATGAGCCCCAGTGCCGAGTCTGGAATATGTATGTCCTCAAGCGCCCCAGACAGCAGTCTTGTCTCCTTTGTCCCAGCCAGCTAATTCCCTGGTCTGTACCCCCCACTCCACTGCGGGACTCCTGTCCAGCCAACCTTCCTTTGGCCTCTGTGCAGCCCAGCTGCTGTCTGACTTCTTTCTCAGACCCTGAACTCCAGGGTGTTGGTGTTGACCGTGACTGCAGCCTTACACAGAAGGGGGCAGTGTTTTAGTCCCAGCAGCTGGAGCCCCGAGAACGCCGTGGCTGCAGGTTTGGGGCTGCCGAGCCAAGGGCATGTGCTGGAGGTGGGGAGGACGCGGCTGGCTCCGGACCACCTGCAGCCTCATCCGCAGGGGCACGGCCTGGATCTGTGCTGTGTGCAGAGATTTTGTTTGGACCTCATTTGAAATTGAGTGGTCATTATTTTAGAGAACCCTGAACACTGCTTTTGATACTTTATGAAATCCTAACATGGTTTTTTTCACATCTTTCTCCATTGAAGATGAACTGACTGGAATCCTTAAGAAGTTATCACTTGAGAAATACCAGCCCATTTTTGAGGAACAAGAGGTAAGGATGTTCTTTTTGGATGTCCATTTAAATCCTACTGTTAAAAAAGAAAACAAAACCAAAACCCTTTGTCTGAACAGACAGTTTTCATTCCATAGGCCTAGATTGCTCTCTGTCACAGAGACAGCCACAGAAATAGAAATCATGTTCAGCACATTAGTTCAGTTCATTACAGTGAAATCCTGGGGACTTTATGGCTTGTTCTCTTATAATCAGATTCTGTAACTTTGAACACCGCGCTTTCGAGCAGAGTTTGTGTTGGTCCTGAAAATATTGTTGTTGCACAGAATTGATTGGTAAGCTTTTAGGTTTAAAGTAGGCCACAAGCAAATCCTGGGGAATCTGTGTTACATGTCTGGAAATAATACGGTAATCTGAGGGATTCTATGTGCTTAGCATTCAAAATCATATTTAAAAAATTACTGTTCTGTCTGGCACTTCCTTAAAATGTTAATTTTAGAGTTATCATATGACCTGACAAATCTCCTAAATATATCCTCAAGAGAAATGAGATACATCCACACAGAAACGTGTACACAGATGTTCATTGCAGCATTATTTATGCTAGCCAAAAAGTGGAAAAATTCAATGTCCATGAACTGAAGAGAAAAATACAGGATGTAACACCTCTGTACAATGGGATATTATTCAGCCATAGAAAGAATGAAGTAGAATACATGACACAACAAGGAGGAATCCTAAAAACACGCTAGAGGAAAGAGTCACAAGAGGCCACGTACAGTGTGATCTTGTTCATGTGGAATGTCTAGACTACGCAAGTCAGTAGAGACGGGAAGTACATTCATGGTTGCCAGGGGCTGGGGGGAGGCAGAGTCGGGGGTGACTGCTAACAGATTTGGGGTTTCTTTGTAGGGGGTGATGGAAATGATTTAAAACTGAGGATGGGGATGGTTGTGTAACTGGATATACTACAAATTATTGAATCATACATGGATGTCATGTGAATTACATCTCAGTAAAGTGTTAAAAGAAATGCACTGTTTTAGTCAAATAAAACTCTGCAGGCCCACTAGCAGCAGGCTGTAATCACTGGTTTAGAATGTTCTGGAGACCAGCTTAGCACATGAAAACCACCCTAATTACAGTAACAATCCTGAGAGTCACCGATTGTCCACAAGAAGCTTGAGCTACAAAGAGGCATTTGTATTTTGGTTCAAGAGGCAAACAGGGTGCAGTGGCTCTCCCTCTCCCAGACTACTTCTCTGCTGTACCCCGCCTGTCCTTCCTGCCTCCTTAGCATTAGAGACTTCATTCAGCAGTGATTTGTCTCATTTCTGAGAAATCCTTCCTGCTTGCTGATGGTTACCTGCTGCTGTCTGAAAGGCTCAGAGTCCTCTTGGGGTGTATGGAAGACACAGATCATCTCTTTCAGAAGGCAGCATTTGTTCTGCCTTCTCGGCTGTCCTCCCTTTTCTAAGCTGGGTTTGTCACTCATTTTCCGAGGTTGTTGGAGCTGTCCAGTGTAGGGACCAAGGTGTGTTATAGCCGAGGTAAAGCTTTCTGAATCTACAGGCAGGGGAAGGTAGGGCGTGCAGATTTGCTGTTGGTTTAATTTGCCCACCAGAAGTCTCCATGGCTTCTAGAGCTAGGGTGGGAGCTGAGGCCTCAGCAGTTCATGGTGATGGGTGGAAGCTACTCCTGGTGGATTGCCTGGTGTGCTGGGCTTGGGGAACTGAGACACTGCCTGTCACCTGCCCCCTGTCAGGAGTCAAGCTCAGTGTCTCCTCCTGTGACTTTGTTTCCCTCTGGGCAACTTATAAGCCATGTAGCACTGTGAGAATTCCCCTCTGTAGGAACCCACAGCCCAGTGTTCCCCTCAGAAGCCTGAGTTGGATGGGTTTTAATCCAACTGGTGACCACCTAGACCTCCAGCCTAGTCCCCCAGCCACACGGATGCTTCTTGGTCTCTGGAGGAACTCCTTAATATCTTTGGCACGCGGATAGCAGTTTTCCTTCATTCCTGGTGCTGGTAAAACTTCTCCCTGGCATTATATATATTTTTAGTCATCCGTGAGAACTGGAAGAAGCAATTGGGTTCAAACATGTTCTCCTTGTGTCATAGTGAAACTGCAAGACAAATAATATTCAACTTTCTACTTGTATTAAGATGGCTTTCAATTGGCTAGATATATTTTTAAAAAGCAATAATGATGTCTTCACAAAATAGAAGGCCATTTCTGCCATAAAAAGTTTGGAAGCAGCTAGGTGTGGTGGAGACTCCTATAATCCCAGCACTCGGGAGGCTGAGGTAGGAGGATCGCTGACAGTTCGAGGCCAGCCTGGGCTACAGAATGAGACCCTGTCTCAAACAAACAAACAAACAAAATTCGGAGCTGAGGCATTCAGCTCCCTCCAGCTCTCTACTCCTCTATCACCAGCATATGTGGCCCTTATCACAAAAATTCAGTGGCTTCTAGAGCTCCAACCCTCACACCCACATTCCATATGTAAGGTAGGACATATGGGATTGGATTTCCTGAGTGTTAAGGCCTGCTCTTTGTCTTTTTTTTTTTTGATACCAGGAATCAAACTCAGGATCTTGTGCTTGCCAGGCAGGCACTGTGCCACTGAGCTATATCCCCAGCCCTGTCTCTTTGTGTCTAAAACTGTTGTCACCCTGTGTACACTGAGGTAGGTGTGCTTACTCTACTGGAACCTCTTTTGACCTCCCCTCCCCCTGCCTTCAAGGGGCAGAGGCCAGTCAGCCAGTCTCCTGGGGCACAGCCTGACTTCCTCTCCAGGGCCCAGGCAGGGATGACAGAGCAATTAGAATTTCACCCATAGTAACTAAGGAGTATGCAGTATTGGAGTGCCCTGGTCCTGGCCTCTTCACCTCGGTTCTCTGTGGTCTCTGTCCATCATGGCTTCTGCTTATTTTCTCACTCTGTCTCTCCACAGTCTGCACCCCTCTTATCCTCTGTGGGGGAGACAAGGTGAGTACAGTGTCCAGTGTTGCTCACAGGTGCGGTGACACTGGGATGGGCTTTCCAGTGACAGCACTTGGAGTGACAGCGCACACTGCCAGATTCCCATCTTGGAGACGTCTGTAATTTGTTTCATTGTAAGGGTCTTTTCCAGAATGCCTCTGTTTGGAAAGGTCAAGGCCCTGGGCTGAGGAGAGTTAGCTTGTGATATTTTAACTAAACCGTAAAATGGGAAGCCTGGATTGGAAGTGGTACGTCGTAATTAATTCCCTGCTAGTAAGCACTGATCATGCCTCATTGCAGCAGCTTTGTGGCTTTTGGGAAAAGAGTGTGGCCCTGCCGATAGTAGTGGACTTTCTCTTCCCAGGTGGACATGGAAGCCTTCCTCACCCTCACTGACGGTGACCTGCAGGAGCTGGGCATCAAGACAGATGGGTCCCGGCAGCAGATCCTGGCAGCCATCTCTGAGCTGAACGCAGGCAAGGTATCAATTCGAAGCCTTCTTCTTTCCTTCTTCAGACGGCTGAGAGCTTCACTAGCACCCTACGACCTTTGTGGGGGTCTCCATTTCGGCCCCTATGCTACCTCTGATGGAGGCCCACCCTGCTTGCACACTTACCATGACTCAGTGTGTGAAGCTACCCCCTCGGGTAATTGCAACCCACAGAGCCAGGTGTCACCCTCGGCAACTCTGGAGTTAGGCTGGCTGGGTTGGAATCCCAGGGCAAGGCAGGCACTACCCCGAGCCTTGCTATCCTCCCTGTAGTGGTGATGGCGCTGGTTTCAGGGCTGTAATGCCTGGAAGAGCTCTGGGCACCAGAGCTGTCAATCACCACTGATGATAGTGGCACCCTGTATTTTGGTCTAATGTTAAATTTCTGTTTCATCAGCGTTAGTGCTGAAGGTCAGCAGAACCCTGCCCCCCACCCCAAGGCACACGCATCCAATAAAAGAGCCAAGTCACCAAACCAGAAAGGCAGACCCTCACTCACTCTGCAGACATTGGCTGTGGTTGCTGTCGGATGCCCAGATGCCCTTGCCATTGCTTTTTCCCCCTGACATAGAATGGCTCTTTCTGTGTCTCCTTCCAGTGGTGACAGATGGCACTTGCTCACCTGTTGTCTCCTCACACTGTGACTCACAGCTGCCCACTTGGTGGAGAAGAGCAGCATGTCTGGGATTTTGCAGTTATATATAACTGTTACTGTGAGGGACATTTCTTCTTCCTCTTTTCTTGTCTTGTGGCCGTTGTTCTCAGGCTGTGTTCCACACTATGAGATTATGTCAGAGAGCATGACCAGCTTTATGGTTCATTCTGTATATTGCCAGGTTATGCATAGAAATATTGAACAGACACGCAGTACCAGCAGCAAATAAATATTTATGTAGCATTGTGTCATTGACAAATCACTGCATACATTTCCCCAGTAGGCCCGAGCAGAGTCCCCAGGCAAGGAGGACCTCCCAACCCTGCCAGGATTGGGGGTGGGTGTTTTTGTTGCTGTCATCATTATTATTGCCTGTTCACAAGCTATGAGGTGATCCTTCAAAGTGCTGTAGTTAGCATCGCTCCAGCAGGGGCCAGGCTGGTTCTTTCTCCTCTGGAAATGTTCCTATCATTCCTCACCTGTGCTGTGGGCCTGGGCTGCTCATGTTATAGATGGGGAGGCCCAGGCTCAGAGGTGGAGCATGAACCCTGACTTACAACCGGTGCTGCTGCCGCCGCTGCTGCTCAGCTCCATTCCTAGGCCTGGGTCGGGGAGGGTAAGGGAGGCGTGGAGGCTGCTAGAGCATGTTGGTCTCGGTCTTGGATGTTAGTAAGGGCGTCACCAGGGAAGTGAAGGCAGAGTGGTTCACATGGGGTGAGTCAGCAGAAATAATAACTGAAGTCTGTGGCGCTTTGGTTTATCCACGGGCAGGAGCCCTCTGAGGGTTTGCCACAGCCCAAGTACTGCATGAACGCTGGGCAGTCAGCATCGCTATGCGCAGCCCCGTCCTGTGAGCACGTTGATGTGGCCGCTCAGTTACCCCTCGCCAGGGCTGCTGAGGTTGGCTCCAGTTGGTAGGGGAGAAAACCAAGACACTGAGATTTAGAAGAATCTGTCCAGGGCCACACCTAGTAAGTGGCAGAGCCAGGACAGGAACCCAGACTTGGTGTCTCTTAGTCCTCCTCACATCCTTCTCACAGGCGGCACTCAACCCTCAAGGTCAGGTGATGCCACCCAGCAGCCTCCCTGTAACTAAGACAGGCACACAACAAGGAGAGGTGATGGTGCTGCGAGAGCTCCGGACAGCAAGTGCGGGCCGGGAGAGCCAGGAGCAGGGGACCTCCCTGAGGAAGAGGCGAGGAGCTGAGACCTGAAGGAAGGGTGGAAACCCCTGAGTAAATGGGTAGAAGAGAAGTGCAGACCAGACCGAGGGGGATGCTTGTGCAGAGTTCTGCAGACGGGAGCATTTCTTTAGTTTTCCCTCATATCCACTGCACCTCAGTATAGGCCCTATCAGGAGAAGCTTCAGAAGGGACAGCGGTTGGCAGTCCTCCCTGGGGACCCAGGCCACCAGCTCCCGCCAAGACACCCCCTGGGCACCTCTTAATCCTCTTCACATCCTTCTCACAGGCGGCACTCAACCCTCAAGGTCAGGTGATGCCCCCCAGCAGTCAGTGCAGGACGGGCCCCGTCCCAAATACTTCCTCAGGGATAAAAGCCAGGTAGAGTTCCGGGGAAATGGGACCACAGGTCACAGTGTAGCATAGAGAAAAGGCGTAATTGGGAATGGTTTAAAAAATTAATCTTCTGCCGCACTACTCTAAGTCAGGGGTCCCCAAACACTGGGCCACCGGCCATTTCCTGTTTGTGGCTGTCTGGAACCAGGCCACAGGGCAGGAATGAGCCGTGGTGAGCGAGCGAAGTGAGGGAGCGAAGCTTCCTCGGTATTCACAGCGGCTCTCCATGGCACATATCAGCGCCCGAGCGCCACCTCCCGTCACACTGGCTGTGGCGTTAGATTCCCACGGGAGCGAGATCCCTGCTGTGACCTGCTCATGTGAAGGTTCTAGGTTGGGAGCTCCTTATGAGCATCTAATGTAATAATAAGAAATGAAGTGTAGAATGCAATAATAATAGAAATAAAGAACACAGTTTAATATAGAAATAAATGAACAAGGGGCTAGGGATTTAGCTCAGCAGCACAGCGCCTGCCTGGCAAGCACAAGGTCGTGAGTTCAATTCCCCCTACCAGAAAAAAAAAAGAAATAAATGAACAATAAATGTAATGCACTTGAATCACCCCACCCGCACTCCTAGTCTGGAACAATTATCTTTCATGAAACATTAAATCCATCCCTGGTGCCTAAAAGTTTCTTGTTTTTCTTTCCCTTCTTTCCATACTGGGGATCAAATCCAGGGCCTTCTTACTGGGCTACATCCCCAGCCACCACCCCTTATTTTAAGGTGGGGGTCTTACTAAATCACTGAGTTGCCTAGACTGAGTTCAAACTCATGATCCTCCTACCTCAGCCTACCTGAGTGCCACCATGCCCAGCTTAGATCTTTTGTTTTGCTACCCGAGCTCAGCCATTTGGCTCAAGTGAGCTGAACACAATCAGGACCCCAGACCAGGACCTGTGCAAGAGAGGGGCCCAGCTTTTCTTGCTCACCAGTATCTTTTCTAACTTTGATCCACAGCATGCCAGGAGGTTGTAGAATCAACTTAGGAGGTTGTGAGCAGAGTTGTAAACAATGAAATAGAATAGAAACTGTCAACAGGCTTTGCAGGTAGGAAGGGTAAAACTTGTTTCAGTTAATACATTTACATGAGACAGGATTGTACTAGAAAATGAATTTCTTACACAATCAAAAAAGCATTTGAGCATTGTAACCTAAAAATTTTTAGAGGAACATTAACCAAAAACCTGATTCCTAGTAATATACAGTATCAGCAAATAATATCAGGCATGGTAGTGTCAGTGTCATATTTTTTTTGTTTTTTGTGGTGATAGGGATCAAACCTAGGGCCTCACTTGCATACTAAGCAAGTGCTCTATCACTGAGCTGCACCCCAGCCCCAGGCATAATAACATTAGTAAAACACTAATGTTTTTAAGCAAGCCATGTTACTACTGGGTGAACCCACCCACGTATTTGATTACTGAAGTGTATGTACTTGGATCTGCTTTCTTGTCTGTCATTGTCAGATGAGAGATGCATTGAAGAAGGATAACCAGAAATAGTAGTCCTCACCCCTAACTAAGCCTTGCTTCTTTCTCTTTTCTCTTTTGTGTACTTACCATTTTGCTAAATTTGCACAGTACCAAAATGGTGGAAAGAATTCCTTTTAATAAATCACAACTCGGCCACTCCACAGCCAATACTATTCACTTTGGGGTGGTTACTCAGCAATGTTTTGTGCGAAGTGTTTCTTCCCCCGCCAGTGTAATTTGGATCTATAATTTTATATCCTACTTTTTTGTTTAATATGAAATATATGCAGCTACCACTTAAGAAGTATTTTTAATATAATAAATTTGCAAAGGTGTACTAAAATATTTTTTTCAAAACCCCCTCTTTGGTAGATATATAGATGCATAAAAATAGCGCTGCAGTAGACAACTGCATGTATTATATGTATGAGGGTTTCTGCTTATCCCCCCAGAATAGATGTCTGAAATAGAATCGCTGAATCAAAGAGGCAGGCTCAAGGTATGTGGATGTCTTTCTGAAATTCTTCCAGAAAGAGCCACTGAGTACCTGCTGCTGTGGATACGAGAGTTCCCATTCTGCAGTCTTGCCAGCATTGAGTCCTGTCAGTTTGGGGTTTTAGTTTTTGTTTTTTGTTCTTATGATACTGGGAATTGAACCTAGGGCCTTTGCATTGAGCTACATCCCTAGCCTGTTTGTTTAAATATAGGGGCTTAGCTAAGTTGCTAAGTTTCCCAGGCTGGGCTCCAACTTGCAATCCTCCTGTCCTTTGGGTTTTTAATCGTTATTAATTTGACAGGCTAAAAGAATGTGCCTGGTTTTAATTTGCATTTCTTTAAATACTAGATAGGTTGAACCTTTTTTCTACATTTAATGGCCTTTCTTTTTTGCTTTTGAGAATTGCGGGCTAGTCCTTTGGAACTCAGGGACTGCTAAAGGGCAGTTATCACTGTCCTCTTTGGTCAGTTGTGATACAGGGAGGATTTATGGCTTTAATCATCTACAGCTCCCTGCTAAGGTTGGGAGGCACCAGGTGTTGGAACCCCATGCCCCCAACCTCATTTCTCAAGGGGTTAAGACAAAGGTGGCATTTATTTTTATTTTTTGTTTTTTTGTTTTTTTAAGTACCGGGAATCAAACTCACTGTCTCGCGCTTGCCAGGCAGGTGCTGTGCCGCTGAGCTAAATTCCCAGCCCCCAAAGGTGACATTTAGTAGTAAAATTCTTGGCATCCTTCCGTTTATACCTCCAGCCCTCAGAGCCTGCACTGGGCCACCCCCCGTTCATTATCTTGGCTTGAACTTCAGGGCAGCCCTGGCAGGTTACATTACTCTGTTTTATAGACACGGAAGCTCTGCGGAATGGGGACACATGGGGATGCCACCACCAGTCACTGGTGGCGCAGGACTTTTGGGTCCTCTGCCTCATGTTCAGTGCTGTATCCCTCCCCTGAAGCCTTAGGGTTGTGTCTGTGGAATTCAGAAGGCATTTTTACAGCTTATTTAAGGTTGTTGGCAAAGATTGATGTGAAGGGAGAATCATACTGTCTTTTCAGGGGTCTAGCAGACCTCACCAACACACCAGGTCCCTGCACGGAGCTCTGGAAAGGGGTCCTCTCTGGTGGGGAGTCTATGAAATGAAATAAAGTTTGATGTCTGGGCTTGGTCAGTGGGGATTTTTTTCTTATTAATCCTTGAAAACAATCTGCCAAAGGCTATTCATATTTAATTTGCTTTTTGTTTTCACCATATTTAGTTATTAACTTAGAAAATAAATGCTTAATCCAGACTGCTGCCCCCTGAGGGCAGGATCTGCCTGCCTCCTGCCACCCCCATTGGGTACCATGTCAGCAGCAACCATCAGAGCTACTGTTACTGTCCATTTTATGTTGAGGAATGCACAGCTCTGAGAGATTATTTTGCTGAAGGCCACCGAGTTAGTAAATGGAAGAGGTAGGATTTGAACCCAGGCTGTTTGATTCCAGTCTGTTAATTCCAGAAGTAGCTGTATTGCTACTTCTCATCTAGGCAATCAGCATCCACCCTTTTTTTCCCATCTCAAAACATGGGGATGGATGGGATTTTTATTAAATTTTCTAGAAATCAGAGCTGGAAAGATGCACAGAGCTAGGCAGGTCGAGCCTGCCCTCTTGGCCCTGTTCACCTCATCCAGGGTTTACACGCCTGCAGCTAGGGTCCCAGACCAGCCCTGTGGGTACTAGGGCAACTTCTGACTCAGTCTGTTTTTATTAAACTTGATACTCTTTCAATTAGGACATTTATTTCCCCCAAGACACCCATGAGTTTTTCAAGTGAGTTGAGCATTAACCACGCTGTATCAGTTTAATTCTTGGTTTAAAAAGATTTAACAAGACTTTCTATGTCTATTTTCAATTTCCTCCACAGGGACGCGAGAGACAAATTTTACAAGAAACCATTCACAACTTCCACTCATCGTTCGAGAGCAGCGCCAGCAATACCAGGGCCCCTGGCAATAGTCCCTGTACGTGATCCTCCTTGCTATGGCCACTAGCGTGAGTTCTCTGGCCCAGGTACCCCTTCCTATAGTCAGGGACCAAGCCTCTGCCCCCGCAAATGTGCCAAGTTTGTCACCCCACTGTGCCTGGTCCCTTTGTTCCCTGTCAAGGTCCCCCTCCCTCCGGTCCCTGCAGCATCAGTTGGTAAGGTTGTTGTGCTACCAAACTCCCACATGAGGACTCCAGTACTCTTCTAAGAGGCTAGTCATGTGCTTCTGGTGGGCACGTGGTTTCATGCAGTGACTCAGAGACGCAGCTCTGTTGCTCTTATACCCTGCCATCCCCAACAGAAAAGGAAAAGGATTGTGGAAACAGCCAGCATAGCCTCTTCTTAACTGCCTTGCCCTTAGCTGATGCTTCACCGTCCTCTTCACATTCCATTGGTCACTGGTTGTCACATGGCTCTACCTGACTGCAGAGGAGGTTGGGAAATGTAGTTTCCACTCATGCTTTTCAGCAGTGCTCTAAACTTAGTAAGGGAGCAGTCTGATGGAAAGATATCCCTCCCTGACATGTCTTACCTTAAAAGCTCTAAATTATCCCTCATGGCTCAAGTCAACTCCCAGAGGAAGCCTTTCTCAAGAAAGAACAGAACTTGTCCTCCTGGCCATGGAAATCCCTCTATGCTTTACATGTTACTGCTTCAGACTTCACCGCATCTACTGCATACAGTATGCATCAGCATTTGCGGAGTGTGTTTATGCATTTTTTCATTGCAAAGGCAGCACTCATATAGGAGAGAAAAGAGGGCTCACTGTGTGGGTCCCTCCTTTTTGGCCTGCAGTTTCTCTACCTGCAAGATGTAGGGTCAAGCAGAGACAGTACTATAGGGCCCCCATGCTGCTCAGCTGGGTCACATGGGGCTTTCTGCCCTTCATATGGGAGCAGGAGACCAAGGTGTCTGTGAAAAGAATCCAATGCTCAGAATTTTAGGCAAAGAAATCTATACAGAATCTGGAATTTCTTCTGGGCCCTGTTATTGCCATGTTCCTCAAAAGTGGACTGACCTGTGTGTCTTTCTGCCGTGTCATACTATGTTAGATAGGCCCCAACTTTAAGTTCCGGTTACACACCTGCTGCCAGGTGTGCACAGATGAGCCAGAGCTGTCCCCACACTGGAGGATCTGGACAGGCAGGAGAAGATCTGTGTGCACGGGCCCCCAGCCTCAAGGGGCAGCAGGGCAGGTGGGAGGAGCCTGTGCTCTGGGTACAGGACCAGTGTTCAGATGCAGCCCCCTTCCTGTCCAGTGATATGGCAGGGATCTCCTCAGCCCCTCTTAGCTGGAACTGGGAGCCTTAGTGCATCAAGCGCTTGGTCTACCAGAAGCACCCAGCAGGTGGTGGCCTCAGAACTCTAACCCTTGCCATGAACTTTGCCCACCATCTCTCACCTGTCTCCCTTGGCCATCAAAGCCAACCCCCCGCAATCCTCCTGTCTCTGCTCATACTGAAAAAAAAAAGGCACGTCCCCCCTGCCTGGCCTTTAGAGGCAGTCAGCACTGCATTGCCCAGAGCTCATGGTTGCCTCTTTGCCTGCCTACCTAGTGGCTGTCTTTCCTCCCTCTTCCTCCTCATCGCTCACCTGCAGAAGCCCATGTTCCACATGACTGAAGATGACACATTTTAGCCGTAGGGACAGACATCTATATGAAGGTTCCCCGTTGTTCTCAAGGGGACATGCTCATGAAGCACCCATTGTATGCCCAGGCTTTATCACATTTCCCTGCATCCTTACAGCCACCCTGGAGGTGGCATTGTTTAACCTCATCCTGTACATGGGGAAAGTAGGGGTAAGCAAGCTGCTCGCCAGTTATGCAGTCTGGCAGGCACAAGGCTGGCCTTTCTCTTCAGCCCATAGACTCGTGGAGCTGGATACCTCCATGATTCTGGGTTTTAATTTATTGATGTCCTTAGGAGTTACCCACAGACCTGAGTTTACCCTAAAGTACATGGGACACTTTGAAGCTTTGTGCTGTCATCTCTTTTCCCCATAATTGGCAGATAGATAAGCTTGATTGAACATCTGCGAAACATGGAGCTGTGCTGTGGTTAGTGCTCCATGCCTGCACACACGCGTGATCCCGTCCGAGGACCCTGGGCAGAGCAGGGCTGGTTATTCCCCTTCTGCAGGCAGGACACCTGAGGTTGTGGAAGCTGCCCCTCTCCTGTCTTTTTCACTGAACTGTAGTGGTTCCAGGGCTTTTCCTGGCAGGCAGTTTGTGTGCTGGCTGGTGAGGGGTCCCTGACACCCTTCCTGGGCCTTGGTCACATTCTTCCTAAGGACCCTATCTGTCTCTAGCCTGCTTCCAAGAGGCTGTTCTTCTACACAAGGAGTGCCTCCTTGCTCATTGACCTTCACGGGAGTCTCCCAAAGTGTGCTCTTTAGAGCACTAACTCCATAGGATGTTAAAAAAAATTTTATACAGAAAGCTAAGAGGTGTGTATGTGAAAGTTGGGTAAGAGTCTGTGATCAGGCAGATACTGAATTAAAGCCAAGACAAGACCCTTGCTGGGGGCTGTCTCACCCTAGCCCTCTTCGTAGGACACATAGCTTACAGCATTTCCCACCCATGTCTTCTCCAAGATGCTCTTGCAAGACTGGCGTCCCTTCAGCGTTGCCAGGGAGATGTGACCTTATCTACAGCAGTGGCAGCTGTGGGGGCTTAGCCAGGGCACAGTCCTCCCGAACTACCTCTTTCCCCAGCAGCTGTCTTCAAAAGTGGCCCAGTTAGCAATGGGATACAGAGGTAAGGGAGTCTCCTGACTAGGAGGGTTCTCTGTCTTGGGCATCTCTGCAGGTTGAAGGGCATGGTTGCCCAGCATCTGTGAGCAAGGCTCCTGCCTCCATGCAGAAGGTCAGGTGGAGGCCAACTGGTTTTGTGGGGAGAATGTCTCCTTTTGCATTTTGTGCCTCATGGAATATGCAGTGCATCCACCCTGCACCGGCCCACACTTGTGCTCTGGGTCCATAGGTGCATCCTCTTGGTGCTCTGGAGACCACAGTCTCCCGGAGGAGACAAGTATGTGAGCAGCAGTGGGTGCTGTGTATCACGTCCTACAGTGACAGTGCGTGCAAGTGAGGGGCATGGTGCAGGGACAGTTGGTGGCTTAAGCAGGCTCAGGAAAGGAGCTGGGGCTAGTCCTGAAGGGCACTGCCACAGATGGCCAGGAAAAGAGGAACCCCAAGTTGAGCTGCATTGCAAAGGCAGCGTGTAACCTGTGTGCATTAAATATTTTCAGGACAGGGGAGGGCTAAGTTAGAAACTTGTTCTTCTGATTTTCAGTCATTTTCTTTGAAATATATAGAAGCACATGTTCCCCTGGAAAGAACACTGGAGGAGATAGAGTCAGGCCTGCTACTGGGTTTTGACTCAGCCACTTCTTGCTGGGTAATATGGAGCATGTTTCCCCATCTCCTCGTGCCTCGGTTTACCTTTTGGCTGTGAGAAGATAGCAGTCCCCGAGGTTCTGAGGATCAAATGAGGGCAGGAAAAATCTTTTCACAATAGAGCTGTGCATATGTCAGGTCTTTCAAAGATGGTTTCACATTTTACATCAGTCCCTGCCTCTCTCTCCCTCCTTCTTCTCTCCCACCTACCCTATAGCCATGGCTGATTGGGTGAGGCCGGAAGAAGCAGCCCCCAGCAAGAGGTAGTAGCAGCTTAGATGGCTCTGCCAGCATCCAGGCCACAAGGAGGCCAGGTTTGGCCCATGGATTCCTGTCCTCAGCTGTTCCTGACCTTGGGTATTTGTGTCACTGGGATTCACACCAAGGTGGACAGAAAGAAAGAAGGCTGTCTGATCGAATTATGGAGGCTGGTCCAGCACAGGGGCGGTAGGGAGCCTCTCTCGGAGCTGCCTGAAGACATCGTACAGGCCAGGTCCAAGACTAGATGGCTGCAGACAACTCCCCTGAGCTGTGCGTCCAAGTCAAGTGCCATGTGCAGTGCCTGGGATCCTTCCTGCAGGCTGGAGGAAGGTGGCATTTGCAGAAGGTGAAGTGAAACACCCTCTGCGGCTGTCCTTGTCCATTTCAAGCAAATTAATGGTGTCTAATTAACCAGTGGGTCCTGTTCAATGTATAAAGAGACCTGATGTTTTCCCTAATAAAGTCAATGCCAGATTCTGCAGGACTGGCTGGAGAGAATGACTCCCCTCCTGAGTGGGGGCTCCTGTTCCCTTAGAAGTTTTGCGTGTATTCTTCAGATATTTCTTGAGGACTTCCTAGGCTCTCCGCTGGTTTGGAGTGCTCTGCTCCTCCTAAGAGTAGACTTGCACTCTACCTTAGTATTAGCTCCTCAACTGAGAAATCAGGCCCAGATGGGCAACAGTTCACTTGATCTTGGGAGTGGCACAGGAAGTGGTGAAAGATCAAAACCCTGTCCACTTGTCTAGCTCTTCACACCGCACTGGACTTCCTTCCTGTGGCCAAAAGCATAACTTAGTGCACCCACAGTTCCCCATTCCCCTAAAATGGGGTGGAGCCAACTCTCCATCATAGTCCTTCCCAGGTTCCTGTTTGCTGTAGGACCCCGGCTCTCAGCCACAGGCATGACCATCTTTCTCAGGAAGACCTTACGGTGGTTGGGGTAGGCATTAGCCTTGACCCACATCCTCATCAGGGCTACTGGGCCAAGGCCAGGACACCATTTTGTTTCAGACCTACAGAGTGGTTTCCATTTTCCTTATGTCACATACTGCTTTATATTATTATGTTATTGTTTTTCCCACACAAGGAGTTGATCCTTTGATTTTTATTTGCCAAGCTATATATATTAAATAATGGTGAATTTCTCCACCCTACCTGTCAGTTTGGTGACTGTGGCTCAGCAGTAGTAACCAGCTCCTCCTAGTCACACACAGCTAACATGCTTAGTTTGAATGCAAGTCTCAGCCCAAGGTCCACATTGTGTTTGCGATGTTTTGCTGCCTGTCAGAGAAAGTAACCCAGCCAACAACAAAACAAGTGACACTTTGTCATTTAGGTGCTGGTTCACAGTGGGGGCAGGGCACATGGAATACTGTAAATGGCTTGGAGGTTCACTTTCTTCTGAGAACTGGCCTCGTCCGTGGTGTTAGTGCCTCCTACTTAAATCCTCAGCCGCAGGATGGTTAGGGAAGCAGACAGTTGTGTCCAGGAGGTGGAGTGAGGCTATGGGCCACAGAAAGCGGATGGCTTCCCATGACGAGGGACCAGAGCTCCCTGGGAGGGCATTACCCCTGGTGGGCCCACAGGCTGACCAAGCCTGTTCCAGGGCTGGCTAAGAGGGCATGGGCCAGGGAAGTGGCTCCCACATGCCAGTGCCAGGTGGAGGGAGAAAAGTAAGAAGGAGGAGTTAGTTTACCTGACACTGAGCTGCTTCATTTTAGAGTTGGCCTCGATTCTGACAAAGCCTTGTGCTTGCTTAGGCAGCACATGTACTAAAATTGGAATGATTCTGACAAAGCCCCTCCTACTTTGAGGGGGAGGGTGCAGTTATGGAAGCTTTCTCCCAAAGTGTGAGAAACACAGTACTAGGTCCCTTTTGAGATCCCATCCAGCCATTACTGTAAAAGGGAGAGGGAGTAGTTTCTCAGTGAAGCAGTATGACTGCATAACCCAGCAGTTCTTCCCAGTGCATGCCCAGGGGGAATGAAAACAGGTATTGTATCAAAAACTCAGGCTTGAATGTTCATAGCGGCATAATTCACAATAGGCAAAAGTGGAGATAAGTCAGATGACCGTCAGTGGATGAATGGGTGAATGGTATGGCTTGGATGAACCTTGAGAACTTTATGCTAAGCAAAAGAAACCAAACACAAGAGTCTACATATTTTATGACTCCTTTGATGACAAATATCCAGAATATGCAAATCCACAGAGGTGGAAAGCAGATCAGAGGTTGTCCGGGGCTGGGGGTTGGGAGGATGATCACTGCATAGGTAAGGAGTTCTCTGGTGGAATGGAAAGTCTAGAATTAGATAGTGATGATGGTTGTACAAGAGTGTGAAGGAACTTAACGCTTTTGAATGGTAGGCTTCACAGAGGCTAGCATTGTTAAGATTCCTGTTAACATCATACTAGCGAAGACCACCAGGGGGCTCCTGGGAGGTGGCTTTCCCCACCTCTGGTGTCAGACTCCTGCACCCTACCCCATCTTTCCCTTGTCCTTCCATGGGTGCAGTGGTGGCGGGCCTACAGCGCACAAGCCACAGTGGGCTGTTTGTGTCAATAAAAGCTCTCAAAGGTTTGCCATCACTGGTACAGTCTTCCTTTCTCTCCCACACCCGTAATCCCCTTTGTCCCAAGGATCTAGATAGACTGAAGGTCTCAAGCCCAAAAGATGGTTCACAAATGAACCAGAGTGAGGTAGAGCTGCCTCTGTCCTGGGCCTGGGGTGGAGGGCAGGCCCCTTCCAAGGCCAGAACTTTCTCCGAGGCCCTGATCATCTACATGCTGTGGCCTCCTGCAGCTTCTCTGGATCTCATCTTTGTTTTTTTTTAATGTGTCTTGAGGCTCTGCTTCACTTGCTTGGGCTCTTTCAGTGGAGTAATTGTCTCTACTTTCATCACAATGGAAATCACTCCTGGCAGATGAGTGTTTGCACCAGTCTGCGGTTGGCATGGACACCCATCCTCCCCATTCACCCAGGAAAGCCTCAGAGGAGCAGCTGCCACTCCCCCTGCCCCATTCTGAGCCCCTGAGTCAGGGCCTTGTCAGTCTCTCAACTCACAGCCCCACTTTTCTGCTGTGGCAGGGGACCCTGCCCAGACCAGTCCCAAGTGACAGGCTGAAGGCTGATCTCTGCCTCTAGTCTCTTACCCGGAACCTGCCACCTGCCTGGGACAAGGGCTTGTGGAGGGCTCGGCTGTGTGCACACAGGGGTGGGTGGGGGAGGGGAAGCCAGCTTTTCTGTGATAGGTGGCTTCAAGAGAGGAGTGGCCACAGCTCAGGTGGATTCCACAGTGCTGGGCAAGGGGTGAGAGAGCAGGTGCCTGAGGCAGAAGACCTTCCAGGGAGTTTGCACAACCCAGTACCAGCAAGAGGAGGGTGGGCTGCAGCCTTTCTCAGGCAGTGGGTGACCAACCCGGGACACCAACCACCATCACAGGCACTGGAAGCAAAGCCCCTGCTTTGCTGTGCTGCTCTGAAGTAGAGCAATCCTGGCTCAAGGGGCTGATGTAAGGACTAACAGTCCAAATGCTCAGCACAAAGTGCCTCCTCCTGCAGCCAAAGCTCTTAACGCACTTTTCTTTCACTGTTCGGAGGGGGTCAGGCCATGTGAACTCCTTGTCACCAGCTGCGATGCCAACTTAGCCTCACCATTTGACCTCTGTTGGAGCTGATGGCAGTCAGAGGAGCTGGATGAGGGACAAGGGCCAGGGATGCACTGGCCAGATTTATTGCAAGAATGAATGGAAAATCCTTGTTAATTGGATAGCAATTAACTTAATGCACATAATACAGTTTACAAACCACAGTCATATAAAGAAAAACAGAGCAAAGAAAACAGGAGCTGGACATTGTGGTGCATGCCTATAATGCCAGCTACGGGGGAGGCTAAGGCAGGAAGATCACAAGTTCACAGCCATCCTGCACAATTTAGCAAGCCTCTGTCTCAAAAAATGAAAAGGGCTAAGGAGGTAGCTTACTGGTGGAATGCTTGCCTACCAGGTATGAGACCCTGGATTAAATCTCCAACCTCCAGAAAAAAAGGAAAAAAGAAATGAGGCAAAAAGAAAATAGGGTAATGGGGGTGGCGGGGAGAATGAGACACACTATGTTTCTTAGACCTAGCTCTACTTTGACCTACTTTCTCTCATGAACTTAAGTCATTTAGCATTCCTGGGTCACAGTGACTTTTTTGTTTTTGTACCAGGAATCAAACTCAGGACCTTGCGCTTGCCAGGCAGGCGCTTATGCCACTGAGCTAAATCTCTGGCTACTGTGACTTTTTGAGAAAAATAAAGTTAATTGGTACTTTAAAGAATTGTGAGCTGGAGATATAGCTCTGCAGCACAAGTGCTCTGCCTGGCAAGTGCAAGGTCCTGAGTTTGATTCCAGGTACCAGAAAAAAATACTTTAAAGAATTGCATAGATCATTTTCAGTGAGTATATTTTATCATGCAAGATGTAACACATTAATGTTTTTGTGTCCATTGAAAGCCCCAAGATCAGGCATAGCATTTGTCCTCCCAGGGGTGGGGGTGTCCAGGAAGTGCTGGGAGCCTAAGGCCCCTCCCAACAGAGCCGTCACACCTGCAGAGAGGCCTGCTCACACTCCTAGCCAACAAACTCTCCAGCTTCCTGAGCCTACTGATGTGGACATGCTCACTGCATGTGAATCACTGATACCGTTTGCACAGTGCTTTCTTAGCCGCAACCTTGGTACTCAGAGTGTCATCCACGGACTGGCAGCCTTGGTGTTCCTAGGACTCTCACAAGAAATGCAAACCCTACAAATTCCCTTGAGGATGTGTACCCGCACTGCAGTATGAGAGGGGATGTGTACTAGGATGCACCTACCTGTTTCACAGAGGAACAGGGCTCCCCAAGCAGAACAACCATCAGCATCACATGATAGGATGGAACTGGGTCTCACGTCTCCCTTCAGACTCAGCTCTTGCTGTGGGTTTACAGGCATACCTACACCATCTGCTCTTCCGTCCAGAGGTACTATTATTACTGTGCAGTTTACAGATGAGGAAAGTGAGGCACAGAGAAGTTTTGCCTGAAGATGCCATGCTTGATCTTGAGCCAATTTATAATGGCATTGACCGTGTAGGAATCATCATCACAGTACTGCAGGGCAGTACTGCAGGCTAGCGTACTCATGTTCCCTGTCCTGGTATAGTGGGCCCCAGGTGAGATCCAGAGTCCTAACATCCCAGTTTGGATACTGCTGTCACCACTGAAGGCTGAGAGAGCAACTGTCTCATCCCTCAGGCCTTGGTTTCCCCATCTGTAAAGTGGAGAAACAACAAATGCTATCTGGCCAGGCAGCGGTGAGGAGTAAATGAAGGATAAACACTGGAGCGTGGTGCACAGGCTAGTTAGTGCCGTTCTGCTCCAGGGCCCCTGATGCAATGGTGAAGGGGAAGAAGCCTAGAGACCAAGGAAGTTGCAGTAGGTGGAACTTCAGGGTTGCCATGGGAACCAAAGCT